CAAGAATCAAGAATTTTTATTTCCATAAAATGTGGTTACATTGCTGGAAAACGTCAGTCAACTATAGCTAAAAAAGAATAAAAACTAAAATAAGACAATGGTACAAGGTTTCTTACCAATATAAAGAATTACATTCCTGAAACTCTCCATGCAAAGAGAAGAAAAAAAAAAAAAACAGCACACAGCACTCGGTTGAAAAACTAAAAAAAACTACTTACAAGTTCTTCTTTCAAATCAAAAAATTCTCTGTTTTTGTACAAAGGGTTTGCCAAAAGGAGCCCCTCAACACCTTTTCTAAATTTTGGGTCCGGCAGGTTCCGAGCTGCAAAAGGAAGTTTATTAAAAAACTTATAACTTAGAATCTCATTCGACATCTGAACTTTACTTAATCTAACATGTGGTAAATTGATATCATTTTTCCTACGTGTATTATAGGGATGGATGTCGCCTCTCAGCTCAAGAGAATCCCATTCCTTCTTGATTTTGATCAAGGACTGAAAAATATAGAGGTTACAAACTGTCATTAAGTTCTCAGCTACAAATAAGGGTTTGCAATGGTCCAAGTAATCAGCACCAGCTACTACTCTAACTGCTTTCTTTTGATAGCGCAGAACTCTCTTGACCCCAGAGGCGGCACCCCAGAGCCTTAGGCCATACAATAAAATACTCTGAAAGAAAGCAATATAAGCAGTTTTCAGCCAGTCCTTTGGTACAAAATATCTCAGTCTTCTGAGTAGACACAGAGCTCTGGAAAGTCTAGCACAAACATGGCTAATCTGGTCATTCCAGTCTACTTTATTATCGAGATGTAAGCCTAGAAGTTTGACAGATTTCACACTATGTTCTAAGTTTCTTAGGCTAAAGATTATTGACTTAGTCTTTGTCTCATTTACAAAAAAGTGATTTGCTCGGAACCAGGCCGATGCCCCCTCAAGAGATCGTTTCATGGCTTCCTCAAGATCTCCCAGTTCATTACTAGTTTCAAAGAGTGTAGTATCATCTGCGTAACAGATGACACCTTGCCCCAAACACAAAGCGAGATCATTAAGCATGACATTGAAGAGTAAGGGACCAAGAATTGAGCCCTGAGGTACACCATGGGTCAATTGCTGTACACTGGATTGTCTGCCATTTATACAAACCAGCTGCCCACGTCCAGTCAGGTATGACTCAAACAGTTCAAAAAGTTTCCCCTTAACCCCATAGAAATTTAACTTTCCCAGGAGGGTGTCATGATCCACCATGTCAAAGGCCTTGCTGAGGTCACAAAGAGTGGCCCCAGCAAAGCCCCCATCCTCAAAAGACTGAAAAGCTGCCTTTATTAACTTGTCAACCGCATCAGTAGTGCTGCGGTGAGGCCTGAAACCAAACTGGGCAGCTGAGAACAGATTATTTGCTTCAAAATACAGAGAGAGCTGTTCTTTAATAATAAACTCAAGGATCTTAGAGAAAGATGGCAGAATAGAAATTGGTCTAAAATTCTCTGGCAGGTTGGGATTGCCTTTCTTGTGAATAGGCACAACCCTGGCAATTTTTAAAACATCAGGGAAAATACCTTCTAAAATACAATTGATACAGTAAGTTAATGGGCTAACTATAGAGAAAATGATCTGTTTCACAAAACTAGTAGAGATATCATATATGTCTCTGCTAGAAGAATTCTTTAACCCTTGCACTACAGATATGACTTTATCACATGAAACTGGGGACATGTGAAAGGTACTAGTAGGTGGAGGATGTTTTCCCAGTAGTTCTAGGCCAGAGGTAGGGGGGATTCCAATAGCGTCACGGGTCTGTTGGACCGAGTTCACAAAAAATTCGTTGAACTCACTGGGTGTTAGGTTGGTCAGCTGTAAAGGTTTTGTTGGAACCACTTCTCTCTTTATAACCGTCCAAGCTGCAGAACAAGGATTTTGTGCAGATTCAATGAATTTGACATTACTTTCAAATCTGGCAAGCTTAAGGCTTTCTTGGTATTCATTCTTGACTCGCAGATATCTTGCTTTACCTTCAGGAGTTTTGGATACCTTGTACATATCATAGGTTAAAAGTTTCCACTTTCTTAAGGTTAGTAAAGTGGGATTGTCTGTATAGGGCTGGATGGAGTTTTTTAGATTCTTACGGGGCCGGAGGGGTTTTTTGGGAAACCACTCGTTAACCAACATTAGAAAAGTATTTAAAAACTGGTTAAATTTTTGGTTAGCATTACCACCTTGAAGTAGAACATACCAGTCTATGTTAAAGAGATCACCCACAAAGCTATGTATTTTACTTACAGGAAAGGGCCTATACAACTTAGATATAGTACCATGCTTCGAGACGTTACCATCTGCCTGCTTATCCCTTATGCTAAACTTAATTGCTTCATGGTCTGCAATGAAAGTCTGTTTCTTACCAAGATGTTCACATTGAAGTCGCCACCTATGACGACACTGTTCGCAGATCTTCTCACACTTAAAGAGAGGACTAACCTTTCAAGGCTATCTAAAAACCTGTCGGGATCACCGTCAGGCGACCTATAAATGCCAATGAAAATAATATTGCAACTATGCAAATGAACGCAAACATATTCATGATGCAGGTCAACGCAAAAATCACTAACATCAATAACAGTGATTGAGTTCATTATGTTAGGTGTCCCAAAAAGAGCAACCCCACCGTGCTTCAGAGAAGTTCTGCAATAGGCTGAAATAAGGCAGAAGCCACTTATGTTTGTACACTTTATAAGTTCATCGGACTGCCAATGTTCTGAGAGACAAAGCAGTTTATAATCATTCAGAGCAAGTGTCATTTCAAGGTCTAAAATTCGAGCAGTGGAAAGGCACTGTACATTAAGTAACAATATACAAAAGTTAAAAAGTCCTAGGCCTACACCTACATTATTTGGGCCTCTATGGCCGTTTTGGCTAACAGGTCTAGATGCACAAAAATTTACAGAGGAGTGATTTTCCCGCATCATGTTTAGTCCCATTTTTTCGGACGATCCCCTAAAAAAGTACGAGAAGGAATGTAGCTTTTAACGTTATTTTGTCTGCCTGAACGACGTTCTTCAAACTCTTTTACAAAAATTCCCTCGGGCCAAAATTCAGGTTTCAATAAGTCCTTAACAAGATTATCAGAGACGCTTACCTTGAAACTTGTATAGTCTGAAAACCTGGTAGGTAGTTTCTCACATTTGTTACAAATAACATTTTCACTTTTCAGATAGGATTCAATGTCACTACTTTCCGTATCTGAAGAACAACGACTAACAAAAACTGCCTTGGATTTTTCCGCACGCTTGAGACCACTTTTGTCAGTATTTGAACCTATAATGGGTTTAGTCTTAGTTTTAGAAAACCTAACCTCTTCTTGAGACGTCTTGGAAGTTGTAGGTCTAATTTTGTTTCTAGGCCTACTGTCAGTATTGCTAGCTAGTACTTGGGAGTAGCTTTTATTCCTATTTTCAGTGTTTCCGGCCTCCTGTCCATTCACTTTGTCATCAGATTCGGAATTTTGTAGACTTGATTCTTGACTAGGCCTAGGTAGGCCTATAAGCTGAGAATGGGTTTCTGCAGAGGACCGCTTCTTGGTTTGTACAACATCTTCAAGTTTGTTGTTTAGTTCGAGGTTATTTTCAACAACTCCTTTAACGAGAGATATTAAGTTCTGGACAGTAGAATTTAGGTTAATAAATTCTTCAATATTACCAACTCTCGTCTGCAGACTTTTGAGGTTAACATCACAGGAGTCACAGAACCACTTGGATTTGTCCCCTAATTTGTTTACTAAGTCATATTCAACTGAAGAAATATTTACACAAGCAATGTGGTACCATTTGGAGCAAAAACCATCACAGAAAATCGCATTACAATTATTTTTAACTAATTTAAAACAAGAGCCACAATTAGGATCAACGTGACCATCCGCCATGACACTTGGAAACTCAAGGGTAGGGGTCCCTCCTGACCGCGGAGGGAGCACACGCAAACAAGTTGTGCGCCTATGTTGTTCAGCTCAGAGGCAAGTGGGAGGGTTGATGGTGGCAGGCCTTGACGGTGGCAGATCTTGCAGAAACAAGCGCTAGAGAGTTTGATGCCGGCCAACCTGGGTAAGCTATGACTCCCTGGTAGGCCTAAGTTATAAGTTAAGATAGGCTGTTGAGCCTAGATAGCCTAGAGCCTAAGATAGCCTAATTATAGGCCTAGAATAAGGTGCCTCGCACATAGTTCTAATTTTGATATCTCATTTGGGAGTTTTTTACTTCCATACCTTAATCCAAATAGTCCTACACCATAATTGTTTAAACGCAAATGAAAATTACCATAGACCTTAGGCCTATCCTCATTCCTAGGCTACCTAGCCTATTTCAAATTAGGCTACCCTAATTTGAAATTTGGAGGCAACTGAACATAAAACACTAAATCGGTTATCTACATTACATAAGAACGTCAATTCAACATGATAAATAGTAGGCCTTGGCCTATGTTCCAGATTCCAACCGGGAACAATTTAGCTATCACCATAGATAAAACATACTCCCTATTACTTACCGGTATGAGACACAAACTAAAGAATTGGCCTAGGCCTACTGACTTGAGTAATTGGACTACACTGACCAATTCATTATATTATATATGACTTGAAATTATTCACTCACCATCTGCAATTAGTCAATAGCCGTGTTTTCTTGGCCACATTATTATTACTAATTTTAATTTAATAATTCAACTCAACTTGTACAAATCGCAACGCAACGCATCGCAAATTACCATTCAATAAAAAAAAAAGGCCAAGTCCAAGTCCCCCAAGCTCAAGTGGAGTGGAGTGAAGTTTGGTCAAGTCAATAAGAATAAGTTAGTCAGTCTCACTCCCAGTTCCCAGTCCCAGTCAGTCCAGTGGGTCAGTCGAGTCCAAGTCTAGCTCTTGCTCCTGATTTTGATTGGTTTGGGTTTGTTTGTTTAGATCATGTGAAGTGTGTGTGTGTGTGTGTGTGAGTGAACAGTGAAGTGTCCAAGTGTCAGGTGCTCTGTACTCTGATCTCATTCTTTCAAATAAAAACATTTTTTTGTATTTTATTTTGTCATAAGATGAGATGTTATCGTTATCTACTTTTAGCTTGAATTCACTTTAACTTAAGTGTTTAAGATGTGATAATTTAGTTACAAGGCACATTCATAAAATTGTTTTACTCATTCTGTGGTTAAGTGTGTAAATTAAATACACTTGAGTTGGAAATGGGAAACAAACAATCTGGTACGAAGACAAAAAGGTCAGAAGGCTCTCTCCATCCTCAAGAAAGAAAGAGATTAACTATTTTTTTAGATGAAAGAAAAGGCTCTGCTAAATTCACTTTCCTTGAAATAAAGGTAGGCATAGGCCTAGGCTGTTTCATATCTAACTTAGGCCTAACATCTAGCCTGGCTGCACTTCGTTTATGTCCTACACTACTTAATTCAAATGAAAAACATTGATAGGCCCTACATCGATTATTTCATTCGATAACTTATGTAAGGTTTGGTTAGTTAATTAGGTTAACCTAACCTAACAATCCGAATGAAATAACCTAAGTTATATATTAATATTTTTCATTCGAATGATTGTAGGACGTAAACTAAAGTGCAACCTCTAGCCTTAGACTGACTAGTGAACTTAGACGACCAGCTACTCGTAGGCTATCGCTAAGTTATCATCTGTAAATAATATTTATAAGTTAGTAGCCTATAGGTAGCTTAAGTTATAGCTGTAAATAAACAAATAAATCATTAATAATTGGTGTGAAACTGGCAATAACTCAGAAATAAGTAGTGTGTGCGCTTGTTAAAATCTATTGCTGGCTGTTTTGCGGAACAATACGGCCGAGTACATTAATACCAATAAGTTAATGTCACGAGATAGAGGCCTAGAGGTGCCCATCCCCCCCCAAACCCACGGTAGAGGCGCAATCCCTACCCCAAGCCAAAGGAGTAGTCCCCCCTCCCAATTTATGCTGCTGTCTATTTAAACCTACCCCCCCCTCCACCAATTTATCTGACAATTTCCTCTTTACCTCATAAAACAAGCATTTCAAGTATTTAGGCTACTAAACTTGAGGTAGGTAGCCTAAAGAAAAACAAACTTGCTGATAATCCAAATTAAATGTTTAACTTAGTAGGAAACGTAATTTAACAAAAGGCCTAACTTACCGTACATCATTCCTACCTAACTAATGGAGGAATTAGAAGTTTTTCAATTTACAATTCAGAATCTGTATTGTCAGCCAACATTTGCTCAGTGACTTATTGCATTAGACACCGTCTAGAAAACGTTAACAATATAAGTTACTCAGTGAATTGAAATGAAATGAAAAATACTTTATTCCATCAAAAACACAATAATTGTTACACAGAGTTATAAATTATTGTACTCCAACACAGTACTGTAACTGTACAATATACAGCAACACAATATACGCCACTATATAGGGTACGGTACGCCAGTTCGGCGGCATTAATTTTTACACGGCTTAAGAATTCAAACAGCTTTAAGTGCATTTATAATACCTCGGTAAATAATATCTTGTTTCAAAATTATAGGCAGAGGCTGCCTTCTACATAAATCGCTGGGCAAAATACCCACAATACCTGCCACATACCAGCACAAAAGGTTTTTGTGACAAAGTAATCTTATAATTAATTTTGATAGCCCCCATGATTGCCTTTTATGACGAATAATGGTAGAAACACATCTTGTCAGACAATCCTTAATAATATATGTGTGGTAGTGTTGAATTTTACTTGCTACGTATATGTTATGGCGGTTCTTTAACTCCACCATCGTCAGGCTTACAAAAGGATCCTTAGTACTTACTTGGATACTTGGAGAATTCCCACTGGTATTGCATCAGCGACGTGGTCGTCAGGTTTTTATACATTTCTTGATATTAATTTATATAAATGGGTTCATTTCCTCTTCAGGGATGCACATGGCCAGGGCGGCACAGTAGGCCGCTTGACTTAAAAATGTTTTTAGCAGGTTCTTGAATTTGTTGATAGAGGGCTCTTGCGTGATGTACTGAGGCAATTTATTATAAATTGTTATACTATTGAAGTAAGGGCCCTTGCTTGCAAGGGTGGAATTTACTTGAGGTACATGTGGATTTGTTGCTCTTCTTGTATTGTAATTGTGGACCATGCTGTTAGTTACAAAAATATTGGGATTCTTCTTAACAAGCAATGCGGATTCCAATATAAAGAGGGACGGAAGTGTGAGAATGTTCAGTTCTTGGAACAAAAGTTTACAGTTTGTCCGTCTATGGACTCCACATATTCTTCTAATTGCACGTTTTTGAAGGATGAAGATGCGTTTTGCCTCACTACAACCACCCCAAAATACCAAACCATATGAGATTATGCTATGAAAGCAGCCATAGTAAACCTTAAGGAGAATCTCGATGTCAACCAGCTTTTGTAGTCTAAACAGCAGGTAGGTGACAGATGACAGTCAGGGCGCTATTGCATCGACATGTGTTCCCCAATTAAGGTTCTCCGTAATGTGTAGGCCCAACCACTTCTGGAGGTGTCGTCAGAATATGTTACAAACATTAAACATATAGGCGATAACAGATAGGCCTATCAATTTGCGTGTGTATATTGCCACGGGCAGGACTGGAAGTAAACTGAATCAGGTTATGGCGGAAAGGTGTAGTCTCTGGATTGTCATCTGGGTTATCAAAAGCTGATATTGGACTAATTGTAGTGATGGAGGAGAGTGTTGAAAATATAATGGGATTCATAATTAAGTTTTCCATTCAAAATTATTGACAATAATAACCAATTTATATGCTGGATATAAATGATAGTCTTGAAATTCTACAGTACTGCGGGAAAGGAAATTTATTAAATATTTTGGAAGAGTTTGATATATATCTTATCTTAATAATATTATAAATGTGAAAGTTTGTGTGATTGTTTGTTTGTTTGTGTGTTTGAAGTTCAATCACGCATAAACCACTGGACGGATTGGGCTGAAATTTGGCATGATGATAGCTTACATTCCCGATTAACATACAGGCATATTCTTATCTCAAAAATCCTTTCAGGCTCCGCCCCAGTGGCTCTGTAATTCCCCATGTTAACCTTATGAGTATTCATATTTAAAGGGAATTAAAGAATTTAGTCAGCTGTTTCAACTAAAAAAGTTGGTTCTATGATATGGAAAAGCATTAAAAAGTTATAAGATTTACCAACAGGGTGCAGCACTATATTTTTTTTTCATTTATGAAAACAGCTAATTTGAACTAAGCAACAAAAAAAAACTGTGATTCGCAATGAGAACTGTCAAAGTAGGATTGTTTACAGTTATGTTTATGTTTATCATTTCATGAATAATTTGTGATGTGTTGCGAATTGTTGATAATTTATTTTTCTCTATTGTTTAGGTGAAGTGGTAGAACATTATGGCTATGGTAGATGTGTAATACTATAGAATACTGTAAATTTAAAAAAGCAAATTTTATCAAACTGTGTCCTCCCTTATTCAAACGCAAAGCTTGAGTATAACTGCAATAAGCATTTTATACTTATATTCCAACCCCGTACGAAGGACAGGTACTCTGCTAGTAAATACATAAAAATAGGGACAGCACACAATTTTTGAGTGAAACACAATTGTGAATCTCATTATATTTTCAATACTCTTCTCAGTCGCTACAATAGTCCAATATCAGCTGTTGAAAATTTAGACAACAATCCAGAGACCACGTTGGTCCGTCATAACCTGAACCTGATTTTGTTTAGGCTAGGCCTACTTTCAGTCCTGCTGACGGCAACGTACACGCTTGAATTGATGTCTATCTTTAATCGTTTTTTTCCATTCTTAGAAACAATCTTAATTACGTGTACGAATGGCAAAATGTTGTTGGTGTTGATAGTGAGCTACTTAGAAATACTTTTTCGAACTGCTTATACAAAATTATCATTCATTATGACAGCTAGCAAAAAATATCCCACAAAAAAAGCCTGCCCCAAAAATTCCTGTGGCGCAAACGCGCCACAGTACCCTCCCTCTGGGCACACGTGGATAGAAGACACTTTAAGTTAACGCACACAACAGTATCAAGGACATATACCTGGCAAAAAAAGTTGGTCTTACATAAGGGGCGTAAAATCAGCAATAAGTAGTGCGTACGCTTGATAAAATCTATTACTGTTCGTTTTGCGGAAAAATATGGCCGCGTAACTTACATTTATATACCAATAATGTCATGAGATAGAGGACTTTTTAATGCACACGACAGTATCAAGGTCATATTCCTGGCGAAAAAGTTGGTCATACAAAAGGGGCGTAAAATGTACAACCAGTCTTGTGTTATTAAGTAAATTAAAAAACTTAGCACATTTTGTTTCTGTAGGCCTATAGGGTATTATTGAGCCCACGATATGGCCAAAAATCTGTGTTTTTTTTCTGTACAGTAACTAAGAATATCACATGAGATGAACCTGAAACAATAATCTACAGCATGTTACCTAATATTATGAGATTGTTGTTCATTTAGGGTTACCCAGGGAACATGGGCAAAACAGTTTGTGTGCCCCATGACACTACACAAGAAGAACCACTTTTTGTTAGAGACTTTAGTAGAAGCGACTGCTCGAGGATTTTTATGCATCTCAGTCAATCACTTGGTACGGTGTACTACCCGAGGACGTCAATGAACACTTTGACTAGTTCCTACAGTTGGTGCGTCACGTTCTAGAGAATACTCCCCTCAAGAAAATCAATTCAACTCACTTTCCACCGTGGTTTACCCCTGAGTTGAGGCGACTGGTCATCAAGGAGAAAATAATCCATTCCCAATACAAGTCCACCCATCGCACCTCGGATTATGTAGGCTAAAGTTTTCTATGGCTCGTTCCCAGTGTAAGATCCTTACAAAGCAATGTTACAATAACTAGGCTATATCAATCATGTGAACTCAGCCATCACTTCAAACCCAAAATCATTCTGGGGCTTTATTAAAGACGTTATCCTCCGCCAATGAACCTTTACTTACATACAATGGTCATTCATCACAGTCGCCTTCTGAAATATGTAACTTGTCAGCTTCCTTCCTCTTCGACTTCTCATTATAATGTTGATTGATGTTGGTTTGAAGTCAAAAAGTTTTATAGGTAGGCCTATTCAATACTATGAATTGTTTTCTTCCCAAAACCGCTAAAATATAAAAACATCTTTTGAATTACCTACAAATAAAATTTTTTTTACCAAAGTCATGTCATTTTACCAAAGACATATCTATATGTCTGTTTTGATTTATTATTTTCTATTTGTCCATATTGCACATTTGATGTCTTATAATACTGTATTTGACTTTGTCTATTGCCATGTGCTTAACGACAATAAAATTCTTGATTCTTGATTCTTAGAGCTAATGTATTTGTAAAGCTCTTTACAAATATGTATAATACATTATTATTACGGTATATACATATATTAGCCTACATCACTTTTTTACAACACAAACTAACACTGTACCTACGTTTTCAATTTTGTCGGTTTTCTGTTTGTTATTATATTACGCCCAAAAAACTTACAAAAGAAAAAAAAATTATTTTCTAACATGTTACATACCTATTTCTATGAGGGAATTAGATTTTCTACAAAATGTATATGAATTTCCCATAAAAAATCTTTAGAACAAATTTTACCCAGGCTACTTTTGAAATGTCAAAAAAACATTCTAAATTTGTTTTTTCTTTTCACTTTACAAAAAAAACTTTCTAAATCATTATTTTATTATATAGGCCTACTATTTCTAGAACCTACTGTTCTTTCCGAACGAAAGGAATATGAGGTTGGTTAAGTTTACTCCTACGGTTGAATTTTTATGAATTTTGAAAAAAAAGGTCTGCAAAATTGCCAAAATAGGTTGGCCATTCCTCACTTCTAGCATCGGCCACTGCTAGGGTTAGACAATAAGTTAAGCCTGGTTACAACCTACTTGTTTGAGTTAGGTTTAAGTTAATACTGTCTTACTTAAGATTAAAATCATGATTGCTCGTGAGTAGGCTACGAGTTTATGAATAAGATAAGTTATCCATTTAATTGCTTATATTTCAGAGGCTCTGGAGTGATTTTTTGACGCCCAGCCTACTGGAATCTTATGCAAACTTCCTTCTGAAATCTACTGATGGGCGAAGGGACGAAATTGACCTTGATGATTTTATCAGTATTTATGTAAAAATAATTAGAGGATCATCCAATGAAAAGGCTAAATGCATTGCAACTATTCTGGGGACCCAGACAAATCAAGAAGGCGTAGAAATCATCTCCTATCAGAGCTTGTGCAAGGTGAGAGTTAACATGTTTTTAAAGACAGTTCCGCAGAGAACCTGTGATCTATTACCAGGTTAGATAGGCCCTATTGAAATTATAGATTTTGATTCAGTACGATATAAATGTCAGCCTTGGCGTAAGTCATCGAATTTAATTTCACCATGATATAAATATAAACAAAACCTAAAATATTAATAAAGTTGATTGTTTTTTTATCCGTAATTATATCCCAAATCACCTTACCTAAGTTAGTTCAACTAAAAATGGAATGTTAAACATTGAGAGGTAAGTTAGTTGTATTCAAACTAAGTTATTAAGCATCAATAAAAACTTAATAGATCATTAAACTTACTAAATTTGATGTTTACATTTTATTAAATATCAATAAAAACATAAGCAGGTCATAACTTACTGGTAATTCAATCTAAATAAGCCTGCACAAAAACAAAATTTCTAGAACAGATAAATCAGACCGAATCAAAACCGATATATAGGACTTATCTACCTATATTTAATTCGCTAATATATCGCAGGTTCTCTGCGGAACTGTAGCCGACCATCCTTTTAGTCTGCTGTGTATCTGATAAAAATCTTTTTAAGGTTTAGACATTACTTAGTTGCATTTTTTACTTTGCTGTTTGCAAGAGTAAGTCAGCCTAAATTGATTGAAAAAATATTACATATGTTGCAGTATTTGAGTGATCTTCTAAAATCATACTTTTTTGGACTGAAGTCACGCAAGGATGATTCTTACACTAGCTGGAACTGTGACGAACCTCGAGAAAATGTCATAGAAGAAGTTATTAGAGGAGTTTGTAATGATTTACAACGTACTGATGATGAAGTGAGTAGACAGATTGTTTGACCTCTTTTAATCTTGATAGCTTAGGCCTAATTAAATATCAAAGATTTCATGATTAATTATGAATTATAAATTATTATAGGCCTAAATCAATTATAAATTAACTATGAATACTTTGTATGGTCGCCATTTCAATGAAAAGTATTAAAGCATTAAAGAAAATTATTAAAGTATTGTGTAATTCACTCAGTAATTTATAGTTTGATAAAATTATTAAATAACACACATTCATCCTTTGAAAATCATGAATTTTCTAAAAGTCTACTTAATTTTATAACTGAGATCCATTGCAATTGTAATTAGGGTATTGTGTCCGAGTTTATGCTTCCACTGCCGTGTCGGGCCGATCAGGCTGACATGGCAGTTAACTTGTTCAAGGCAATGCTCCCTTAGTAGATTTACCATATTTATGGATCAGCAGAAGACAATTCTAATGTCGTTTCCGTCAGGTGCCTCTAGGGGCGTATTTTTGTTTACAATTTGTTTCCTGTTATTTCAATACTTACCTAATAGTTAAACCAAATAACACGATCTAACTATAAACAATAGCTCGAATGTTCTGGTTTTGATAACCAAAAATCAGAGCACAAATCATAAAACTAACCCTAAAATAAGAGAGAAAAACTTTCATAGATAGCAGTGCTCAATGACACCAACATGAATTTGACATAAAAAAAAACAGCTTCACATTAATTTAAGAATGAGATGAGAAGTCAACGTGTGTGAGTTAGTATTGCATTATTCATTTTGTAACCCATAAAAATCTGCATACCGGTAGGTCCCGTCTCATGTATGTGTTCAATATAGTTATAGCTAGCCTAAAGCTTGAAATTCAGGATGAATTTTAGTTAGATTTAAATGTTAAAAGGATCATTTAAGCCTATTTATATTCTTATTAGTTAATCGCATGTGATTTGTTATATTTCGATACATATTCTACTCCTTTACTTTTTCAAAGGTGAAAGAGGATTTGTTTGAGGACTGGTTGCACCACAGCGGTCTAGTCAACACACTTCACTGTTACGTCCTCGGAAGCATGTATAATTTGGAGCCGGAGCATCAATTCAACCTCATACCTTACGCACAGTTTCCTGCAAACATCTCAGAGCACAAGGTCTCGCTCCTGTTGGATCCGTCACAAGTTGTGTACCTCAACTCCTTCCTTCCGTCGGAGCATAAGGAAGTGTGGAGGTTCCTGTTTTCTACCGATTCTCATGGCGAGAGCTTCTCCAAATTCGTCGGATGCATCGTCAATCAAGGCCCGATCTTGGTGGTAGTTAGAACTGCCAACAATAACACTTTTGGAGGATTCATCTCTACAAATGTCACTTTGAGTCCGAAGTGGATTGGTAAGTTTTTGAATTTATTGTTCAGTAGTAGGCTTAGTTCAATTTAGACACAAATTAGTTGTGACTTTCAGCTAAAATGTTTCGAATAGATGGGGGTCAGAGTGTCTAACATGATTCCACAACTCATTAGACACTGAACTTGAAACGTAATTGATTTAGTTGTGTGTTTTTCTTATCTATCTTACAACCCTGTTTAGTGTTTTGTTCACGCCATTCGTACGTCATTCGCCTATTGGGTCTGATGATGATTGGAGTGTCCAATCGAAATCGATCACCTTTTACCATCTTTTTTGTATATTTACCGTCTTGTGAGTAACAGTATAAGCGTAAATATATGTTTTAAGTGTTATAAGACGTTTCTTTTATTTACTTTCCGTGTTTTGTTCAATGAAAGATTCAAGGCCAGGATTTCGATTTGTAGAATAAATAAATCATCCTGCTTACCTTAGAAGTACAGAAAGGGCATGGATCTCAGTTAACAAGGTTTAAAATCTTGAAGGCCATGACAACAATCATTTTGTAACTAAACTTCTTTGCCTACACTTCCCTCAGGGGATGAAATATTTGTGTGTTTTTCCTAAATAAACTAAATGAAACCAGCTGCTATCTCTTTGACTACCCTGTCTAAACTGCTACTGTAAAGTTAATGGCAATAAAGTTTACAGTTCAATTGTTTAGTTCATCTTCTTCTTAGCCTTAGCAACATTTTACCTGATTTCCTAATACTACAGAGCTGTAGCAAAAACCTACTCCTGCAGCTGATGATGCCAAAACACTTTTCAGATTTATAAAACTTATTATAGTGAAAATTTATTGTTTTTACCCCATTGATCTCACAATATTTAGTAGATTAAGACATATAAAATTAAAAGGTATAGATATATACATATAAGATTAAAAAAAAAATTAACCCTAGAAAATTTAAGGACAGCTTCCTTTTAAGGCGCCAGACAATAATTAAAAATACATACTAAAAACTCCTAAATAATTTGGCATCCTTAGTTAATTGTATTCAGGAGACCATCATCGTTTGACTTGTATGTTGTTTTATACATATAGCAGCCTGAGTTACTTCGAGACTTGAAAATCCGTGATATATTTGATATATAGTTGATGAGGATGAAAACAATCATTTGTTATCATATCCCTATTATTTTCATTACGTGCGTTATATCTCCAAGGCATCTTAGTAAAATTACAAATGAAACATACTATGAAAACACAAAATTTCTTCTTTACATTTTAAACGAATAACATTACAATATTTTACTTAAATTCCCTAAAACAACTAAAAAACAACATAAAACATACTATGGAAACACAAAATCCAACGTAAGTAATAAACAAATGTAAACTTGAAACAGTTCAGATGATTGACAACAGAATTCAGGACAAACTCTTAAATTTTAAAAGCCCGTAGGACGAAGGGCTTTAATGAGATATCATCCAAACCCGCAAAAGGCACATCTAGAGGATAAGAGCTTTAAATTTATAAACAATATGCATATGAAAATAAATATTTAGGGGTAGAATTGCTGCTCACAAAGATCCAAAAAATTCTTTTAATAATATAGATTATATAATACATATATTGTTGCCAGTGAAAATGTTTACGCTATAATTCAATTTTTGTATTTATTTGTAGGCTCAGAAGGCAGTTTCCTATTCAAGCTGGGCTCTTCAGTCGATGTGTTCACTGGCACCGGATACAATGACCACTATGCTTATCTGAACTGTTCTCAGAGTACATTACCCAATGGACTGGTCAGTATTAGTGAGAGTGGGCCACTATATCAGACATAAGTAAATCTTTAGGCAGGTTACACAAACCGGAAGACGCTTAAGTAATTGTTAGACATGCATGTCTTTTGTCTTTTTAATCTTGGGACATTTCTCTTACTACACTACAGTCAGTTAAGTACAAAAGTCACCAAAAGATAAACAATTGATGTTGCCCTTCCCAGAAAACGGCATCAACAGTGGGTGGTTTTAAATATCCTTCACCCATTCTCTAAAGCAAATGCAGAGATATCAAGCTAGTTTGTTACAATCCAACAACAAACGTACGATCACACATGCTTCAAGAATACTTGAGAATCAAACTCAGCAATATGATTAACTTCTCAAAACAAGCTAAATAAACGACTGGACAACCTCATTGCCTAGGGATGAGTGGCAGTGTGCATGCGCCTGACCTGCTTTTGTACAACATATCTCATCAAACATAACACTGACTAACCTGTAAAGTAGAACACATGTCTAAACACAGAAGACGTCTCTGACAAAAGTTGCAAGGTGTGTGCAAGCCCTGATTTGATAACATGGGTTGGTTTCATGTGCGACATTCCTCGGATATGAAATATGTTCACATCATCTGTGCAAACATTACTACCTCTCTAACACAGATCTTCATGGTCTGGTGTCTTGCATAAGAGGATTCTATTGTGATGTGAAGATTTGGGCCTTTTGTCATCCGGCTCTTTTTAATACACCACTGTACCACTAGGCCTGTAATACCCAAAGGAGTATTTAGATGATGAAAGGGAATATAAAAATAATAGGGGAATGAGTGACAAAGTAAACAAAGACATTACTTTCTAGATTCAGCCTCAGGGCTGCACATTCGTATATGGTGGTTTTTGACTAGGGATGGACGGGTCCCGAAATTTCGGGAATTTTTCGGGAAAAAAATATTCCCGATTATCGGGACGGGATTACATTTGACTCGGGAATTTTTCGGGACGGGATTTGGTCCGATCGTCGGCGATTTTTCCGTTTCGCGAGTGCCGATAACGCCGTTATTGCGAGCGATAGGTCCGCGAACGCAAGAGACGAAGTCGTTTCGACGATTACGCCGTGACCGCGGAGTCATAACGACGATCGCCCCGTGGCCGCGATTATTGGACCGACGATCGCACCGTGACCGCGAGTCATAACGACGATCGGGCTGTGACCGCGGAGTCATACCGACGATCGCGCTGTGACCACGAGTCATACCGACGATGACGCCGTGACCGCGAGTCATACCGACGATCGCGCCATGATGGCGAGTCAAACCGACGATCACGACGTGACCGCGGAGTCATACCGACGATCGCGCCGTGACCGCGGAGTCATGCTGACGATCAAGCCATGATCGCGAGTCATACCGACGATCATGCCGTGACCGCGAATCATACCGACGATAACCCCGTGACCGCGGAGTCATACCGACGATCGCGCCATGACCGTGGAGTCATACCGACGATCGCACCGTGACCGCAGAATCATACCGACGATCGCGCCGTGACCGCGGAGTCATACCGACGATCGCGCCGTGACCGCGAGTCATACCGACGATCATGCCGTGACCGCGAGTCATACCGACGATAACCCCGTGACCGCGAGTCATACCGACGATCGCACCGTGACCGCGAGTCATGACGACGATCGCGCCGTGACCGCGAAAACATGCTGACGATCGAGCCATGATCGCGAGTCATACCGACGATCATGCCGTGACCGCGAGTCATACCGACGATCGCGCCGTGACCGCGAGTCATACCGACGATCGCGCCGTGACCGCGAGTCATACCGACGATCGCGCCGTGACCGCGAGTCATACCGACGATCGCGCCTTGACCGCGAGTCATACCGACGATCGCGCCGTGACCGCGAGTCATGACGACGATCGCGCCGTGACCGTGAGTCATGACGACAATCGCGCCATGACCGTGAGTCATACAGACGATCACCCCGTGACCCGCGAGTCACAAGTTTCTATAGGTACCTGTAAATTACCCATTTTTTGGTTTTTATAGATCAGTGCCACAAGTGGTAAAAATTGATTTCGTATGTCTTTTTTGGTAACTACAATACAGTACTTTCTTTTTATGCACAGAAAAAAATCCCGTCCCGTCCCGTCCCGAAAATCAGGAAGGAAATAAAAATCCCGTCCCGTCCCGTCCCGAACTAAAAATTCAATCCCGTCCATCCCTATTTTTGACCAAACTATGTTCAAGTGTTTTTCATGTATACACAAATGTTTTTGCGTGCATCTCAATGTTTTTTCTTGACTGATTGGGGGTATAAGGTACGATGACGTTTGCCTAAGAAATATTTTAATAGAAACTGGTAGCTGTTCAAAGGTTTAGGATCACTTGGCAGGCCAGGTACATTAATTTAAACAAACCAGTTGAAGTAATGAGAAAAATCTTTTTTCATATGATATGCCTACCACTAACGTGTTCTGAGTTTTGTTTCTTAAAACATGTTATTTACCTGATTCATATTCCTATGTTCAAAAATCTGTAAACATTTTTCCTTGTATGTGTTTCAGGGAATGGGAGGCCAGTATGGGTATTGGGGTCTCTGGATAGATTCCCAATTCGGAGTTGGGGAGTGTAGTGAGACCTGCACAACATACAAAAACTACAAAATGTTGGACTCGGGAAAGAAGTTCCACATAAAGAACTTGGAGGTTTGGGCTGTTGGGGAACCTCCTCCAACTGAAGAAGAGCTGGTAACATTAACATTTGTTCTTACAGGTTTTTTAGAATTTTTGATATTTGTTGTGTTGGATTTTAAATGTCTGCAATAACTACAGTAGATGCTTGCTAATTTGGCGCGTTCGGGATTTACTTGGCGATACTGAATAATTGAAAATTCTGGGTTGCTGAACATCCTCTAAAAACAACGGTTACTGCAAGACTAGCTCATTTTAGAGCGTTAAATGGAAGTTTTTGGCGGCGACTCGTTATTTGATTTTCATTGTGCTTCTGCAATTTTATTATAGATATGAAATAGTTGATATTTTAAAAATTTATAGAAATAACTAAAACTAAAAAATTCAATCATCTTTGTGTTAGAGTAAAACAAATTCTTAAAAAAATTATAGCTTACTTTACAAATGATTTAACAGCTGTGTTTCACTGCTAATCTTATGAAGGTAAGGGTAAATTGTATTTTTCACAGGAAAGCCTGTTTAAATGTTGGTAGTAACTTTTAATTTGACATTTTTAGGGTGAGAGATCCACAAGTAAAACAGGTAGGTCAGCCCTAGACCAAGACCCTGCAAGTGCCACGATTCTGGAGATGGCTGGACGAGAAATGCACAGTAAAGGCATCAGAGAGGGAATGGCAAAAAAGAAGCATTGAAACATCGAAATTCTCCAACTTTTGGATAGAGGTTAGTTCAAAATATGTTACCTCTTGGAGTTAATTTTGAATATAGTCTATAAATTGTGAAATTTTCATCGCATCCATTCAAGGATTTTACTACAGTTGAACCACATTAGTACGAACCTCGGTAAAACAAATTCCTCGATAAGACTAATTTTTTTTTATCCACTTGAAACTTTCATTGAGATCAATGCTAAAAACACCTCTATACAACGTAGTAATTAGCTTAAAAACCTCCACAAGACGAATTTGTTTGTGACGTGGGCTAGGACTAATTAACCTCTACAACGAATATTCTTAGCACAAAACCTCTACAAGACGAATTTCTCATGTCTTAACCTACATAGGGACAAAGTATTCAAAACAAACAGAAGCTTGTCTTAACATAAAACCCCCACCCATCCCTCTTCCTTCCTCAGTTATTGTTTAAGACCTCTATAACACGAGTAGGGAACGGCAGTATTAAACCTCTATAAAACGAACCTTTTTATTAAGAATACCTCGATCATAAAAATTTTTCCCCTACCCCTTGAAATTCATATTATAGAGGTTCGACTGTATATAAAACTAAATCAGCTGGTTTGTAAATTAATTGTTTGATTTTTTTCAGGCAAATCCTAGCTACAGTGCTGGAATATGGTGATGGTCTCCAAGTACTTTTGTGCCAAATAATGTTACCAAGCCAAGTGTTGACACTTAGGCTAAGCTTAGAATGTTATTGTATGTATTAAAATATTTTCTTTTGTTGATTTTTTTGGTTGATAACAAGCTTAACTTTAATTTCATACTTCGGGCAAGATGAATTCTTGGAATGCTTCTTAAGCGTTGGTCACTTATGTATATATTTCCGTTAATTCAAAAGTCATCTATGACAGTCTTATTTGACCGTGGAAGCCTTACTTCAAGATTAAAGTTACTACACTAAGGTATTGATATCGTCCTTTTCTGTGTTTTAAGTTTTATCTGGAAATGCTTCGTGACAATTTTACTTCCGACGAGACATCATAAAAGTATACTGCTTAGCTCTAATAGTTTTGGATTAAATTTTAAACCCTTGATTTTTATAACAACTTTTAAAACCTTCATCAGTATTTTGTATCATTTGGAAATGAACCTGTTCCATTCCACACAGTACAATACCATTGGGTGAATTGTGAATGGTTTCCGGTAGGTTACCTATCAAACTAAATCAAATCTGTTGCTCTGATTGCATAGAGACAAGTGCTTTCTCTAGTCTTTCATCTTTTAAGTGAAACGATCTGTAAAATTTTTAATGTAAAGGAAGAAAAACATGTGAAATCAATATCAGATCGTTTGAAAATTTGTACTTTGACAAATCAAAGCTTGACAATATATTTATGGTTGTATAAAATTATTTAAGACTAAAATTGTAATATTGTTGACATATTAAACGTTTATTGAACATTGCTTATGATTTCCTTGTAAATTTCTCCGTTAATAAGGTTTACAAAAGAATGGGAAATAGTGCTGATTGATTTGGTAGTTGATTGTATCATGTTTACAACTAATAATTGTACAGCATATTTATTTGCATTTTACAAATGTCAAATGTCTTCTCTTTGAAAAATGTGAGAATGCATTATTTTGTGTCACAACATAATTGTATACCTACACAACTTGTGTGTGGTGGTTCTTTACTAGACGGTTTTCAAGTAGATATTTTCGGTAATTGTTTATCCCAATTAAATTATCGGATTTATAATTTTAAAGCTAAATCCTCTGGTTAAACTGGTACAGTATAATAAGGTATAATTTAATGTCTTTAGTTAAAGGTTCAATTTGGGTTACATACAAAGAAAATCTTTCATTAAGTAAATAAACACAAGCCTAAGTATTTGAGGGTTATAGGATTTCAGTAAACGAAACTGGATTCTGAGAAAAAGTTTATTTGTAACAAAAATATAATTTGTAGGCTTATTTAATGCAAAAACATGCATTCGTTAGTAAGTGTAACTTGCTACTCATTTCAAAATACATATTTTCAAAAACGTTTACTTCAATAACAAAACTTAAATTGTTACAAACAATGCATGTATTTACGGTTGCAACATTTAGACAAATATAAAAACTTGGGTTGCATAGGGAATCCTCACTCCAAGACAATATAGATTTAAAACTAGACAGAGCCTATCATTAATTACAAAAACGTAACACTGATAAAATTTTACTTCAAATTTAACAGTAAGATGGCTGTAAACAAGTTTGAAAATTCTAGAAACACAACTACGAAACTCTTCAACATCAATGTGATTCAATTGGTTCTCCCATCAGTTCTTCACTGTTATCGCACTTTAACTCTTCACTTTTATCGTTCTTCAATTCTCTCCTTTTCTTTGGCTTTTCATTTACAACGTTCTTGGATTCTTCAGTTTTATCGTTCTGGGTAAGTAGGTACTTGATGCAAGCGTTCTGGCAGTGGCGTACCATGTATTTCCTCTGGGAGAACGCCTTTCCGCACATTTTACATCGCCAAGCCCACTGATGATGACCTCTTGTGCGTTGGTGCGCTCTTAGATTAGACCTGTTGTAAAAAGAGATCCTGTTACTACACCAAAAATTGTTCAGAGATATAAACATAGATTAAACACACCCACATGATTACAACACAAGGATTTTCACCATGTACCATAGGGAACTTGGAAAATAAACCAATGAAGATAATGCTGGACGTAGGTTTGATTCAAGTTGAAGAGAGTTTTAGAAAGAGAGATTTAGATCATTCATACAGTTTTTTTCCCCTAGGACGCTAGGCGCGAGCCCGGAATTGTTTTCCACAATACTACAGGCTAGACCTAGGGGTTGTGACATTATCACATAGATAATATCCATTGGTGATTTGGTGGGATTTGAACCCGGGGCCTCTGGAATCGGAGTCCCGCACTCTAACCACAAGACTAGCTTGCTCCCCGTTCATACAGTAATGACACTCTTAAGTTAGATTTTACGCGGTATTGATACTGGACCCAAATGATATTTGCCATAATTAATTTAACTATCAATTAACAATGCTATCTAACAAAACGTTCAAATAGTAACAAGACAAGGGTTTAGAACACAAAAAACTTAAAAATTGCAATAGAATAGACAAACAAAACAAACACAAAAATCCAAAACAAGATAAGTACAACACTTCTTCAATAACCTTTACCACAACCTTTTTTACCTTTTGAACACTGATAGATTACTAGTAGGGATGAGGAAAGTGTGCCAACAAGGACGAAACACATTTAAAGAAAGACATAGGCCTAAGCGCAACTTACCTCTCAGCCAAGCTCGCATAACACATAGAGCAATAAATCAGCGTCTCCTCTAAGTGCAATGCTATGTGGCCTTCAATAACCAACTTCCTGTCAAAATTTACAGACAATCTTTAAAACAAACTGGGATAACTTTCAACACAATGGATAAGGACAGATGGATGGGAAGAGTCGAAGGAGGCAGGAAAGACATTGGAAGCAAAAGAGTTGGGTAATCAAGGATCAAAACACAAAATAATTGGATCTCGTTATGGTTACAATTTTTCTTTGGAACCATGTTTCCATCTAGTATGGCATCTAACGACGACTACAGTCAATCTTTTTTATCAACACTGATTCAAGATGAAACCGACTGCAACTGGGTATCAAAAATTGTAAGTCTTAGGAAACTAGAAATACACTGGGTGTATAATAAATTGCTAGTCTAGTGTAAAGCATTTTTGTTGCTGGAGCAAGTTTGATTACGTCATATCCACAAAATGGATGTGTCCGCTTTCCATTGAAATTGTTAAAAGGTTTCCAACCCATAAAATATTAGCTTGGACCCCAACATAGACAGCCAGATGTAAATGTTCTAAAATGGATGTAAATTATAATTTCCATAACTTATTATTTAAATTTTAAAACATTGACGTTGATGCTAGAAAGACATCAAACATCGATCTCAAAACATCAAACACGTGCAATACGACTCCTTTCCTGTAACAAGCTTTCTTAAGCGAAATATCAAATCATAATAAACACTTAAGTCCACTAACCTGTCAGCAAAGCTCTTGTGACACATGGAGCAGGTAAAGGGTCGCTCACCGGTGTGAAGTCTCATATGACCCTTCAGCACCCAAGGTCGGTCGAACCCCTTGTTGCAGTACGAGCAGTAGTGCAAAGTAGACTCTAGCTTGCCTTCCGCAGACTTATGCTGGCTGTTGCTACTCTCAGTTGTATTGTCCTTACTCATCTGCCATAAGAATTCACAAAATGATTATGGATTTAATCCTTGTGAGTGCAAGAGTGTGTTTAGTAAAAAATGCGGGACTTAGGTCCCAGATTCAAATCACCAATGCATTTTATCCAAGTGATAATGTCGCAACCCCTAGGTCTAGCCTGAAGTAAGGCAAAAAACAATCACGGGCTAGTGCCCATATTTCCTAGGATTAAAGAAGAGGATAAAACTCTTGTGTTTGTAGAAAAAAAAAACGTATTTGTTTTATATAGATTTACCCTATGTTTGCCAGGTGAAAAGTGGCAAAGCCTGGTGTACATTTTAGACAATAGACAGTTTCCCTTATTTGTAATTTTGTTAAAAAATACAATGGCGTCACAAAAATCCAGTATATTTTTTTTTTTTACATTTAGATTGTTTGGCAGTTTACATATTTTTAAATTGAAAGTTCATAATTTTTCCACTTGTGTGACTAAAAGTAATAGGCAATACTTTATTTACATGCTCATTAACAGCACAGCATACAATCAGTTTACAGCAAAGTTTAGTTTACATATTAGTACTACCGAACACTTACTTAACCATTACAATTGTTATGGTGTGAACTAGGAAGGTGGTCAGCTGCGATTTGTCTGTACCTATATTAATTTCACTTTTAAAATTCATCAGTATAACCCAACAGGTATTTTAAATTGTTAATTGCCAAGTCAACTATTTTTTTACAAATGAATAACCCAACCAACCCAATATTTTAAACTAGATAATCATTAGCGAATAAGAATCTTTAATACCCTTTAAACATTTTACAGTGCAATAGGGTTTGTCATTTTACTACATAATAAATTGCTACATAATATTAAAATGCAATTAATTGTGACATTGTGCATTGATGCACTCAATTAGGTTATGAGTTGAGTTAACAATTCCATTCAATCCAGGAACATAAATTGTAAAGATGAGTTGCTGTAAAGTTCTGTAGTCAATGTCCTAGTTCCAAATACTTTGTGTTGGAAATACCCCCAGTGTTTTTTACTATTGTGTTGTTTTCTTTACGACAGCCCAATTCCATCCAGTACCTTATCAAAGGTATAAATATTTTAAGTAGGTATTCTTAATTGTAATATTAAAACTAAATTATAGCCAAATTCATAGATTAACCTGACTGAGTCCTGTAAGAGCATTAAGCAGATAGCTCAGTTCGGCCATGTCTTCTGTCGGCATTGATTCTTGCATCAAAATGCTTGATGAATCAAGAGCACTTTCTGTTTCATTGTCCGATGTTTCACTCAACGGGGGAGAGTCATACTCTGGTTCAATGTATTTTATCTCTGTTTTATCTGGAAGCTTAAAAAGCTCCCATCTTATTGTAATAGGCAGCTCGTTGACTTCACTCCAATCTAAAAAAATATAGAAAGAATCAATTTTTGGATGAGTATGATTGATAAATTACAATAAAAGTTAAATTTTAATTTTTCATATTTTCACATGTGAGTTGTTCATGACGTGACGAGACAGTATGTGCTAGGATTGGATCAATTACAGTAGCCTCATCTGTCCTTTGTATTGTTTCTGGGCGATTAAGTCAAGTCAATGCAATAACAACAATTAGGTGAAAATCAAGGCAGAGATTGTGGTAGGCACAGAAAATTACACAATGTGTGCTTTGCTGCACAGAAATGACAAGATTGTTGTACTGTTATATCTCTTGGCAATGGGTATTGCATCAATTAGTGGAAAGCAGGATGCGCATTCCCACAAGAAACCTTTTCCCACCACTGTGTTGCTTAATTTTGTACGGAATTTCAACAATAAATTGCTATTGAATTTAATACCACTTGCAAATAGTGGTGAGTGTCAGGAGCATTTTCCTAATTTTTCTCTACATACCATCCTAAGACACCATCTATATCCACCCAAACTTTGAGGACAGAAGAGTGGAGTATACTGTACATAGAAGATGACTAGCATTAGATATTTCCCCATCAAACTTCCGATAGACATATCTACCTTTGAAGCTTTGATATATGCTATTTGCAATTTTTATAATATAGTGATCTATATAAAAACTGCACCGTAGCATTTGTGCAATTAGTGAGCAAAGTAGTGCTTTCTTTAACAAGGAAAGAATTATGACAAATGAAAATCAGCCACATAAAGTCCATGAAGAAAAAGTAAATATTTACAAGAAACTATCCCCTATTATTCGGAAAAATATTTTAAAAAATTAATAAAATAAAATAAAAATTATTTGTTTTTTTATTTAAAATATCCACAACAAGTTGATAAATTTTGAAAGAAATTTAATTTGGAAAATCAAGTGCAATATTTAATATCTTTAACAGCCATAACATTTTCTATTAATATTATAAAAAAACCGCCTATATAACAATTATCGTAATTAGGTTCAAACAAACTTGTAAAATGTCATGTCATATTATTCTTTGTTCTACAGCAGACTACAATGTGAAGTAAGATTTCAAATTTTAAAATAAATTTGAATTTATATGATGATAGTCATAAATAAACGTTCCCCTACTAAAAAACCTAGATTTTGATTTGTCATTTAGTATAGAGTGGGAAAAGTATTGGGCAATTAAGTTGAGAAATCACCTGCTTAGCTAACTATAGACTAATCGGTTGTTTTGCACTAATTTAAGTGAAGAAAATGTCACTTTTGGTAATTTTTCCATATTGGGAAAAGGCCTAATACATGAATTTGAACAAAGGGTGTTTTTGGCCTCTGGAGACCTAAAATCGAAAAAGTAAATCGGTCCTGAGTCCAGATTTTACCATCTCCACTGGTAAGCCTAAATTTTTATTTGTCATTTCAGTTTGTCATTTGTTTATACTGTAGAGTGGACAAAAAGTTGAGAAATCATCTGCTTAGCTAACTATAGACAAATCAGCTGTTTTCAGCAAACTAATTCAAGCGAAGAAAATGTCACTTTTTGTTAGGCTACTGATAATTAACCGTAGGCCTATATACAAAAACTAATAAATCTTTCCATCTTTCCACCTACATAAATGGACTCCAAATGTAAAATTTAGTAATTAGTTCATATTGTAATTTTTATCAGAAAAACTATTTACATACCATCATTATTTTCCTTGATTTTTAAATTACTTAACATATCAGGCTTAAGTGCCTCACTTCTTGTGATTCGATTGTGGCTCATGTTCAAAACCGAGCCATCTTCTCCACCTGAAAAAATAATATTAATTTATAACTTTATAGGTTATACCATATATCCATCGTTGACCACTAGTGACTGGATAGATTTAGTCTAAAGAAAAAAGATTTTAGTTTTAATAAGGTACTTTAGATATGCGGTTAACATGGCTGTAGTTACGAGGTCCATTCACCATTTTCCTCTGTGAAATATTACTTCATGGAGTACAGGCCTTGAGTAGCTCCTATTCTCTTTTTAAAATTATTAAGAGGGAGTGGTTTTATGTCTTGGTGCAGGTGGTTATAGAGTCTGATGCCAAGGACCCGGTAACGGTATTTTTGTTTGCTAAGTCTGCAGAAAGGAATGTTTATTAGTTGGTTTCTGCAGCTGGGGTAGAATTGTATCATTTAGGCTTCAATCTGCTCTGGTCTCAGGGCAAAAGTAAAAATATTAAAAAAAATTGGGGGCCATCAAGATATGCATTGTGTTATAGACTACTTATTTTAACCCTTTAACTAGCAAATTATTACAGTGTATTTAGTAAGGCAAATTATTATGAAAGGAGTAAGTTGTTCCATATAACGGCACCAGCATAAAAAAGTGTTCAAAAAAGTGGTAACGTTTAATAAATTAATAAAAATTTTGTGCCATTATGAAAAGAGGGACTATTTAAAGGGTTAACAACTATGGCATTTTATTTAACTTATCTATAAGATTCGCTCTTATTGTCATGTGAAGTATATTGACTTTTTGTTGAATATTGTACAGTTTAATACTGTACATTATTCAAATTATTTATTTAACAGTATAGCATTGAAACTTTATTTAATGTTTTGAATGTTTGTGCTGTTATAACTCGGCCAGTTGACTCAAAGCATTGCCTTTTAAATAAGTAGACATCCCATTTAGGACCAGAGGTGTCCCTATAATTCTTTATGGAGAAAAAACATATAGTTCTGTTAGACAGTAGCCAGTTGCAGATTACACTAAGTTAAAAATTCAAAATTAAGTATGACTTGTTTTTTGTTACTGAGGCTGGGATATTTTAAAAACGTGACATAAAAGTAAAGATGCTCACAAGTCGTCCTATGAGTTTGACTTGGTTAATATAAGTTTTCAAGCATAACTTATTCAACAAAAACCAGTAATTTATATCATCAGTGCAAACTGTCTGTGGTATGTCTAGTTTTACGAATAGGCAAAGCTTAAGTTAAAGTCTCTGTGAATAACTTTAGTGTTATTTACATTTCATAAATTAAATAAATTCAGTAAGTTTAAAATACGAATTTGTATCTAACCTAAACTATAACTAAATTATACAAAAGTCACTGTTTAATTTTATTAGTTTTAAGTTGATTGTTTAGAACTGTGTGGTGTGCATTTAACTAAAACGAACATTAGGCCTACACTTATAGATTAATTATTTTTTATTACCTCTCTTTCTTGAAGGCTTGATAAAACAGCGAGGCATATGTATTATTTCTTTATCGTCGGAAATAAAAACTAGAGGTACACTTAATTTATACAACCAAATGAATTTATTTTGATAATAAAATTGTAAAGTGATTCAAAGCACTACTCTGCTACCAATTTGACAGGCGCCATGCGGAGCGGAGCGGAAAAGAAAGTCCGATTTACCAAGCGCTAGCGGACGAAAAATGTTAGTTTGTAAACATTGCTGTGTTTCCACGTTGTGCAGGCGTCAACTTACTACGTAATATAACTATGTAGCCATAGCGTAGTAAGATTAGCAATATAGGAATATAAAGTAGTTGCAAATTTTACTGTTGCTTCTGTCCGGTTTTCTGTAGATGTCGTGTTTTGTTTACAATTTGTTTCTTGCTATATCAGTAATTTAAAATCTCGTTTTTAACCAAATAAAACTATCTAATCATAAACAATAACTCGTCCACTAGCTATATAACCTATGTCGACTAGCTAAGGGAGTATGTTTTATCTATGGTATGAGTATCTATTATATTTATTTCAGTTTTTACAAAATCGTAGAGAGGACTGTAATTCTTCTGTGTTGGAGTATTTTCTACTGATACTGTAGTTAAGAAGTGTATATAAGTTAAATTAGGAATTAGATTGATTTGGCTAAATGAGGTAGTCTTAACGTCAAAATGTACAGTTTTTGTGCTTTAGGCAGCAGGTATTGTTCACGATTTATAAGGGTTTGACGCTCTAAGTGTATTTTTTTACTTTTTGTAAGAAAGCAGGCCCAAACCGTAGTCTAACCATACACTAACCTAAAGCCCCGTGTACACGTAGCTAGTTTACTAGCAGCTAGTATTCGCTGCTAGCACTAGCTGGGCACACTAGCGCGAAAATTCCCATCTACACGTGGCTAGTTACTAGCGCTTATTATTAGCGCTAGTCATGTAGAAGTGAAGTGTTCATTGGTCGCAATAGTCATTTCAGTTTAGCACAAAATGTCTTCTGTTCCCTTAAATCGAAATGTTTTGAGACACATTTTAAGAATTGGTGTACAAGAATTGTGTGAACATGAACTTAACTAGGTGTACAATGCAGTTGTCTGCTTGCAATATTGAGCGGAGCTAGCGTGTTAATCCAATACTTTTCTAAAGTCAATACTACATCTGTTCCTCGTAAATGAAATTAAATACTTGCAGTATCCAATGTCAATGTTATATCTGCTTCACAAAAACGGAATGTCTATTTGAAGTATTCAAAGTCAATTTTAAGTCTGTTTCAAGTAAATGAATTGTATACTTGCAGGAACCAAAGTCAATGTTTCATCTGGTTCTCTTAAATGTCTACTTGCAGTATCCAATATCAATGATACATTTGGTTCGCTTAAATAAAATGCCTATTTGCCAATGGTACGCCTGGTTCACTTAAATGGAATGTCTATTTGCAGGATCCAAAGCAATGCTTCATTTGACTCACATAAATGAGAAATCTACTTTCAGTATCCAAAGTCAATGATACGTCGGGTTCTCGTAAACGAATAATTTACTTGCAGTATCCAAACTCAATGGTACATTTGGTTCACATAAATGAATTATCTACTTGCAGGATCCAAAGCAATGGTTCATTTGATTCATATAAATGAGAAATCTTCTTGCAGTATCCAAAGTCAATGGTCCATTTGGTCCACATAAATAAGATTCCTATTAGCAGTATCCAAAGTCAATGGTCGCCTTACTTCTGGTTCTGGTTAACTTAAATGGAATGTATTCAAACTCAATGATACTTGGGTTCACGTAAACGAATTGTGTACTTGCAGTAAAGAAACTCAATGGCTCATTTGGTTAACGTAAATGAATTGTTTACTTGCAGTATCTAAACTCAGTAGTACCATAGATAAAACATACTCCCTTGTGTTGGTTAGTCTATGGTAGTACATTTGGTTCACGTAAGGAGTGCCTATAGAGATCGATGGCTTATTTGCAGGATCCAAAGTCAATGGTACGTCTGGATCACAACAATGGAATGTCTACTTGCAGTTCGCAGTATCCAAACTCAATTGTAGGCCTATATTTGGTTCACATAAATAGAATGGCTGTGTGGATTACCGTATTTAAATCAATGGTGCATCGGCTTTATTCCGGCGACCATAATATTATTGGTTATTCATTTTGTAGTAAATTATGCTCAATGATATTAATCCGGTTGATATTCCCTTTTCTCTGTACAATATTCCTAATGTGCTATTTAGATGATTCCTTGACTAACAATACACAAACTGGCCACAATGTAACAACACACACAACAACAACAAACTGATCACCGGCGTGTGGCGAGTGGCGATTAGCACTAGCAGAAATGCAAATGCCCCGCTAGTACCGCGCTAGTTCGCTAGCGCTAGTGGTCACGTGACCACCCCCTCCACTTATTAGCGCTAGTAATATCAAACATGTTCAAAACGACTAGCAGCGAGTAAAATGCTAGCGCGCTAGTAATTTTTTACGCTAGTAGACCGTTTACACGGAGCGAATTTACTAGCGCTAATCAACTAGCTGCTAGTACTAGCCTCGTGTACACGGGGCTTAAGGGAGTATGTTTTATCCATGGACTAACCAACACAACACACGTAGACGCGTAGACTCATCGCATTGCAAATCTTGAAGCGGTTATGTTGCAAACAGTCAAAGATGGCCGTGAAAGAGGTCTATGGCTATATTATATAATTTTTAGGTATGTAAAATCAAAATGACTGAGGTATGTAAAAAACCTATTATTGTCTTATATTATATAATTTTGTAGTACGGATTTTAATTACGTGCTGAAGAAGACTATGTATCCAATTAAATATGTTTCTTACTCTATGGACCATTTTTAGATTAAAGACAAAACAAAACATTGTCAAATGTCAAAGTACCACGATGGTCAAGTTAAGTTTAGTTTAGGTTCATCACTTTTCATGTTTATAGGTTAGAACCTACGCATAGTTTGTTGTCATAACAAAGGGTCCAAATGGATGCAGCCGAGAATAGTTCAGGATTTATTTTAAACATTAATTAGGTTATGCATTATTCAGCTTATAGAAGGGTATGATCGCTACGTAAAATTATCCTAGCAATATTATAATTTATTTTAAATATTGTTTTGGTTTGTTTGTTGTTGTTGTGTTCTAATGTTCGTTCAGTGTAAGGCCTACACCATCTAGACGTATGTTTCTAATCTAATACCAATCAATATCCCTTGAATTAATGCAAAATATAATAAGTTGTTGTATTTTAACAGAACAGGTCCTTAAACTCCCAAGAAATTCCTCTGGTTATGAGTTCTGACGAACGGGATTTTGAAGCAGACGAAACCGATTATCTCCTTCATCCTGATAGTGAATACAGATCTTCCAGAATGAGTGGGAATCGACCTAGGACTTTAAGAAATTGTAAAAATGTTTTGTCTCGGCTTATGTGTGGGTAAGTAAATTCAGAATAATATAAGATGTAGTGAATTTAATCGCAAAAGTAACGAGATTTGGGTGATATAGTTTTTTTGTCCTTGGTGGGTTTTATCAGCTGATGTCATGGATCAATATGGACTGTGGACTTCTGTTTTCCAACAAGTGAAGTAGGACGTCAATGATGGTGAAGCGACTTGTAATCAAGCCATGACAAATTAAACTGTTTTGTTTAGTGAACCATTTTGATATTTTATTATAAAAGACACTTTTGACTCAAGATGGCAGCTTCATCTTTGTGTCTTGTTGAATTATCTTCTTCTACCACTCAGTTAATGAAAGAAGATGTGCCCCTCATTTCTAAACCACCAGAATCAAATTCATGTTCAAGGTTCATATTTAGTCATTTATAATTTACTACTGTTTGTTACTTTAGGATTAACAGATCTGCATGTTTAATAAGTTAATTTGGCTAGTGCAAAATAAGTTTAATTAGCCCATAGCCTATTAAGTTTAATTACAATTTAGGCTAGCTAAATGTTTTGTAAGTTACAAATAGGCCTAGGCCTTGCTGAAGAATATAGGCTCCTCGATTATTGATCTTATTACGCTGTATTTAAATACTGATAAAAGTGTAGGACTTACCTGATTGAGTACCGTAGCCCATTCTTGATGATTATATAAGTAGCCTACTCAACTTGGCCATAAAATGCTAGAATTTTTGGCTGCACTTTGGTAAGTTATCTGTCCTACACTCATTTGAATGAATATATCGAATATTTCATTCGATATATCAAGTTTGGTTAGTTAGCCTGACCTAAACTAACTTAACCGAATGAAATTCTATATAGGCCTATCGAATAATCTTAAGTTATATAGGTATCGATATTTTTATTCGAATGAGTGTAGAACAGATACTAAAGTGCAGCCGAATTTTTTTTGTAATTTTCCAAAAAATGCTAGAGCTAGCCTATTTACTTAGCCTATTTTGTCTGAAAAAGTAATAGAGGTACTTTGGTATTATCTGGATGCCACCCTTATACAGCCTGCTGCAGCGGTTATGTGAGGTTGGGTTATCATAAATATGTTTGTAGAGCTTTCCTTGTTTCATTATGAATCAAACAATACCAGGATGAGTCATACTTTCGTTTGCTAAACCCCCTCCAAATAGGCCAAGGTGAGGTCGTTAACCGGAGCGCCTGTATTACCTGTCACCGCCTGTATCTGGTGTGGCAGCTAGATGCATTCAACTCAATCCTCGCCAACATCGCTGCCAACACTCACACGGTCGAAAGTCGCGTCGGTACGATATATAGCCTAAGCTTAGTACTATTCGGATGAAACAAGAACAAGGATATATATCTACTACTAATCTAGAGGTTAAATACCTTGTTGCCAACGTAATCCTTGGTAGACTTAATGGCTACCGGTTTCGACACATTTAATTGGTGTCATTGTCAAGCCTAGACGTGGTTTTTTCGCTCCTAGGAGGTCGTCATAAAGTTTTCAAAATCACATAATGAGTCGAACAAAAACGAACACGAACACACATTTTAACGAATGATACTCTATGGTCATACAACTCATGGCGCGGCTGCGGGTTCAGGGTGTAGGTCTAGACTGACCGTCGCCGTGTCCTTCCCCTCCCCTCCTATTCTTTGTTGTTATCAAACCCATTGTCTACTGATAAGTTTTGTATGAATGAGGCTGCTTCGTAAATAATGTTTGACTCAAGCGATGTTTTTTCATCGAGGATGTGTTGGGGATGTTTCTTGCCGGCCTTGAATATCTCATGTTCTTCGATCGTATCAAGAAAACGACCTCTTTTTTCTATAAAAATGTAATACATTTGTCAATAGATGAGACATCATGGTTATTACTTATCAGATGATAAAAAAAATGCAGAATTGGGTTTGTGGATGAATGGTTTTGGTAGGTGTTTTCATTATACAGTAGAGTCTCGCAAACTCGGCACTCAATAACCCGGCCATCACCTGGCTCAGAAAATTAGTGATTTTTTGAGTCCAAGTTAAACATGGACACAAGCCAGCTCAAGTATAATCATTTGCAACTCGTACTAAGGATTTTTGTACTATATTTGATGACTTAATACTGACTTGTAATATATATTTAGGTAATTAAAAAGGGCGGTTAAAAAGCTCAAAAATTGTATTGTTCTTATTTTTAACTCTAGATCCCGATAAGCCGTCATTTCACAAACTCGGCACCCTTCCAGTCCACATTACGCCGAGTTTGCGGGACTCTACTGTATCTAGTTTTGAATGGGCGGGGTTTGTCCAATACAAAAACTAAAGCAGCTGTCACAATTAAGTTTGTAAACACCAGATCCTTCCGATTTATTAGTAGTAGATTTATTCCTATTGCTTCTTAATGCAGATAAGAGTCTATTGTTAGTACTAAACGATACTACAACATTGTTCTTTGACATTTCTTTCTTCAATGTGCCGTTAAAGTACGTGCCAAACTCAGTAGATATATATATTGGTTTGTTTGTTCTCTTGTTGGTGTGGATATTTTTATTTTTGTGTTTCTTAATGAGTTTGTCAATAATATTACTATTGTATCCATTGGACACCGCAATGTATTTTAGCGTGTTTACCTCTTCCTTGTAATCTTCTTCGGACAATGGAATTGATAATAATCTATTGACAAAACTATGGTAAGCGGCTAATTTCTGATTTTGAGGCGAATCATTTAGATAACTTACCTGTATTGAAACCAGGCAGGCGCTTAACACCCCTTTTAGGAGTACGATACTTAACTTAGGATGACTTCTTTGGCTAACTTATATAAACTTATTAGGGATTTTCTATCCCAGATTTGATAATATGAGAAATTGACTGTAAGTTAATCTATTTCGGGGGTTTCTAACCTACAGCCTACGGGACACAACCAGCTCTCATACAGATGTTATCCGGCCTACCAAAAGTTAGCATAAGCTACAAAAAATTACCTATATATTTTATAGTGTAGCGTAGGTCTTAAATGCATGACAATTGTCTCTCATGACTACAGCAACACATGAGTGAGCATATATTGTAGTTCCTGCTATATTGTGACATATGACATTTAAGAGAACAAGTTTTAAGCTATCAACAAATGCGGCCATATGCCAAGTTATAAGAATTTGATAATCTCTTAATTTTGGTTAAAGGCCTAATCATTCAGTACCATGGTGTTTTGAGTTAAAAGCCAAGTGCCACTATTATATTTTATTTTACATTCCAACGGACAGCTCCATTTTGATATTGGTAAACATATGATCAAGACCTGCTTACGATTAGTACATTGCAAAGGTTGACAGTAAATTCAAATTGATTAAATAAATTAGTCAAAGAACAAAACGACGATAAGTGGAAGCCAACAAGATGGCAAACAGGACAGCCAGGTACAAGTACCTAGCACACAAGTAAAAAACTTGACAGGTACAACAAAACAAATCGAATAATGGTATAACAATGAATGACAATAATAACATTTGAATTGAGTAACAATATAAAGAATAGCAGTTTATAAATTAACGATGAAATAACAATAAATTAACAAAGAATAACTGGGTGAAGAATTAACAAAGAAATTAAGTTTTCAACAATGATAACAGTACCTAGCTTGTTTAGACAACAGAGCTTTTTGGGGTGAAAATGGGTTTTCCCTTTTTTGGTCCTTAAACTATAGAATTTCCCAATTTCTGTCTAAACAATTTTGTAAAGCTAAAAAAAAAATAATTTGGTAGGTATGTTGAAGTGTTTTTGTACAGTTAATGGCTACAGAGAAAATAAAAAAAATGGTTAGGCCTAATTTAAAATTCTCATGTTATTTGGAGAATAGTGAACAGTTTTTTACTTCTGTGTAGGCTACTTACATAAATGTTGATAAAATTTGGCAAATTTATTTATTTTTCACTAATCTGTCAACACTTCAATAAAAATACATTTTTCCATTACCTTCCCTGTAGCAGCATACCTACGTACTCATTAAACTTAATGTTACTTAAACTACGGTAGTTGTTCTGTCCTTGCTTCGCCACGGGAGAGAACACAGAGAAGATATGGTGGTTTTTCACTGCCTCGGCCAATGCAAATCCTGGATCATTAAGCGCTTGTTCTTGATTTAAATTAATTTTGTTAATGTCCATGTCACAAGGTAAAATATTCTACCTAGATGCGTTTTTTTTTTTTTTTTTTTTTTTCAGTTGGATTGGAGCACATAAGGCTCCATCCAAATTCTACGGTTATTTTGTCATTTAATTGTGTAGGCCTAAACAAAATTTTTGTGCATCAATTCCTGTGTTTTTAAAATATAATACTGAAGTAATAAGTAAACAATTTAAAATGGAATTCAAAGGTTTGAACACCATCCCACATTATAAGAAAAATGTACTGTCACTTCTCTTGATACAATATAGAAAATCCATGGTAGAATCAAAAGGTTAACTCTGCAAGGAAAAGTAAACTACAAACTAAATACTAAATCTAAGGCTGATGTATCTTCAAGAGTTTAAATGATGATTAAAATACACCCCTTTAATTGAGGTTGCTGCCCTTAAAACAGGATTTTTTGAAAAACTGATATCTTTTGGGTAAGTTTCACTTAGAGACCTTTCATTCAAGTATGGTTGATTGGTATGCAGCTTATGGTTTTCTCAAAAGTTTTTGATCCTTATAAGCTTAGCTTATGGATAGGAAATAAATCAGATAATTTTAGAAAATTACATTATTGATAATCCAACAGGGCAGTTGGAAATTTACCAAGTCTGCAGGTTTGCCGTGGCTGGAGTATTTAATTTTTATAGAAGATGCTTTAGCAATTAATTTTTATTTTTAAACAAGTTCTTTTGTTGAGTATGCTTGTTATAGTCTCTGATATATTTAATTTTTTTTAAAAGCTCTTAATATCAATGTTACAATATTTTGAGATGCATCAGGTTCTTCGTCATGTAAATCTAAATGGTAATAAATGTTTAAGTACTTTATGGAAATTATAATGTCCGGTGAACATTAAAATAATATTTTTGTATCAAAACCGTGCAATGGTTTGTCCTTAAGTTTTTAATAATGCTGTCAGATTGGAGTAATGACTGTTATATTCAGGTTGAGGATTTTAATTTGTAAATATCCCTAAAAAGCTACAACATTTCTAGTCAATTTTTGTTATCTTAATTTTTTTACTTACCAAATAGAGTTTGTAGCAACGTAATACACTTAAAATGGATATTTATTTCTCTTAAATATTTTAAATGTAATTTAACACAGTACCTAGGCTAAGCTGTCTTGTTTAAAACCTCCAACCTATGGATTTGTATGTTAATTTTGCTGAGGGATTGAATCAACACTGCAGGCAATGTACCTTAGTGTTTAGATTGTGATCTGTGTTCTGATAGACATAGAACCTACCTTATGTATGCGTTGCTACTTGCCAGTGATAATGAAATTGTGTAATAGTGTTGATGTATAACTTCAGAAAATGTGGAGGAGACCATTTAACGACCATTATAATAGGTAAAAACTCTTCAGATATGAAAGTTAATATTATATTTTGTATTATATCTGTGCCACAAATTAAAGGAATTTTGTCCTTGTAGAGTGTTTGAGAACTAGTAATATGATAGGTCATTGTTTCTGGGTCAAAACCAAATGCAAATATTGATTTAAAGCTTGAACATATCCTCACAAAGATGCTATTTGGTTTTTTACATAACATTTTTTTATCTCCTGATTAGTTTTTCTAAAACGCTACTTTTTAAAATGTGAAAATTAAAATGCCGGCAAAACATCTGATAGTATAAAAAGTATAACTCCAATTATCAAATAATATTTTCAGACAGTTTGATTCAAAATTTAATGACAGTCAAGGATGTGTTAACAAACTGTGAGTAATTGATAAATGTCTTAAAACCACAAAGATTAATCAATATCTAGGTCCAGCATTAGCCCAGTGGAAAATAATAAATTACTCTGTTAGTAGGCTAACTGGGGAATTGTTGACAATTTGATGATGATATTTGGATATGGTTTATACCTAGGATTAAAACCCTTTAAGAGTTTCAAGAGTTTATCACCTTCACCAAAATGGGTGGAGGGGGAAGGGTCACCGTCATCCAGGGTGCTGTATGGGAACAGTACAAAGGAGAATTTTGTTTATAAAAAATTGTGTTCGTCTCATTGGAAAATATTAACTAAAAAGTAGGTTTTACCTTCGTCAATCAGCTCAAAAGTTGCAACTGTTGTAGTTCGGCATTACAATGCTATCATCAGACGGTGTCTTGCTCAGATTGTGATAATGTCAACCGGTACCATGTGTGCGACAGGCTTGTTTGTTTTTGTGATGTTTAATCGTAATGTAAAAATATGTGTTGTGTTTTAACTTTAACGACTCTGCTTAAGCTGAGATCTTCAAGTCTGATGATTGCATTGTGATGCCAAAACGGCTATAACAACAGTTAAAACTTTTGATTGACAAAGGTAAAGCCTACCTTTTTGTAAACGTTACAGCTCAAGGCCTGGAAACTAAGATTTTGATGGAAATTATTCTTGTAATTAATCTTTTATTGGTGGGTTTTAACATTTTGTACGCTAACTGTTTCAGATGCTGCCAGTGGATATGGCGGCGTTGTTTCCGAGAACGAGAGCTAAGGGCTAGGACTATTGTTATTGGGCGTCCTAGCCCGGAAAAGTTCCCTGCCAATGTGATCAGAAATCAGAAGTACAACATCATTACGTTCTTACCATTGGTGAGTTTACAATCTTTAGAAAAGTTTTACTTCTTACTAACCTAATTCTGATTTAGTTCATGTTTTTGTTAACCCTCCATAGGTACGTCAGTTTTCCTAAAAGATGTGTTATTGTCAGTTAGTAAGTTCCAACCGTACCTAACGCACCTCTGATTGTCGTTTGATTTGTAATGTATAAAACTGTGACTGAACTAATTCTTTGTTTGCAGGTATTGTTTCAGCAGTTCAAGTTTTTCCTCAACTTGTACTTCCTGCTGATGGCAGTGAGTCAGTTCATCCCAGAACTAAGACTTGGATTTTTATACACCTATTGGGGACCACTGGTGAGTTATAGGAATCTTCAAAACAAATTTACACCTACTTTACAATGTTTACCAGATACCTACAATACAATGTTCCTTCTGTTCTCTTTAAAGCTTTAAACCATCTGTTTTTTGTCTTAGACATTCCATCCCCATGTTATAGTTGTTGCCAGTTTTTAGCAAATTTCCCATATAGGGAATAAGTTATTACCGTAGGTCTCATGGTAAGACCTAGACCCGGGACCGATTTACTTTTTCGTTTTGAGGTCCCCAGAGGCCAAAAACACCATCCGTTCAAATTCACATATATATATATATATATATACAGTAGGATCTCGTTAATCCGGCCCTATATGGGGATTAGTATGGCCGGATTATAGAAAATGCCGGATTAGTGGAAATGCATCAGAAATTGAAGTGGTTTTACAATAAACAACATTTTATTGCTTACGAAAACTATGATAACAATCATTTGAATTTCTGTACAGTATAGGCCTAATGAAATGTTGTTTAATGTATTATTGTGAAAAATAAACAGTGATATGAAACAGCAAACAACCGTACAGTACAATATCAGACGATGAACAAAGATAATCACTAAATACTGTACGTGTACAAAATGAAAATTACAGAACTTTAGGCCTACTGTACACTTTACATGTAAGACCTACTTAAACAACAGCAAAATAGTTTGTAATATTTTTCTGCTTCTTTGCATTAAAAGAAAGTTTTAAAACATTTTCCTGGAGCCTCTTTAGTGTCATAATATCGGAAGCCGAAGCACCGTTTTCTTCCGCCCAAGTTATTGCAGTTGCGTAGGCACAGAGCGCCGAATCCGTGTTGACTGTGTGTGCAGCTGCAGCTGTCGACGTCGACGTACTGGCTCCGCCCACTCCGCCCTCCTCGTCCCCCTCCTCCACGTCACAGCCGTCTAGAACATCTTCGATGATCTCATCGTCTGTCATGATTTGACACTGCTCGTCGTCTGCTCCGTCTAACCAGGCGGTAACATCGGCTGATGTAAGATCTTCTGGATCGTCTACTAACTGTTCGGCTATTGCTTCTCTCAAGTCATTTAGCTCAGCATCTGTTGTCACTGTCGTTTGAGGATTTGATTGTCTTCTGTAATCCTCTAATAAATCAAGAGAAGGCCACAACTTCGCCCATGAACAAACAATTGTTTTTGTTGCAAGTTTTTCCCATGCGCTTGCAAGATTAAAAACAACATCTTTCAGGTTGGTTTCCTTCAGAGCTGTAACAACACTCCCCTCTTTTGACAAAACACTTTACAAAAGGGTTTTTTTGTAATTCGTTTTTATAGTTTGGATCACATTTTGGTCCATGGGCTGGAGTATCGGAGTTACATTTGGGGGCAAAAATAAAGCAGTGATTTTTCCATCCCTACTTTTTAACTCATCCTCATCTGGATGTCCAGGACAATTATCGAGCAACAAAATGGCCTTTTGAGGCAGTTTTTGTGCTTTCAAAAACTTTTTTACTGATGGTACAAACGTTTGATGGAACCATTCCAAAAAAAGAGTTTTTGTCATCCATCCTTTTGTCGAGTTTGTGTATGTAACTGGCAACTGTGTGTTTTTGAAAGCCCTTGGCTTTTTGGCTTTCCCAATAACAAGCAATTCTAATTTATGTGTGCCACTAGCATTACAACACGGCATAAAAGTTACTCTATCTTTGGCCAACTTGCGACCAGGGGCACTAGCTTCCTCTCTATGAACGAATGTTTGTTTCGGCAAAAGACGCCAAAACAGACCACTCTCGTCAGCATTGTAGATCTGATCTGGGCCTAAGTCCATTTCATCCACGATTTCTTTAAATTTTTCAATAAAAGGTTCTGCAGCCGCTACATCACACGAAAGCCTTTCACCAGTCATAGTTAGCAGTCGAATTCCAAAGCGTCGTTTGAATTTATCCAGCCACCCAACACTTGCACGGAAGTCGTCCTTTTTCATGATTTTGTTATAGAACAGTTTCGCCTTTTCCATTATAATATCACCTGAAATTGGCGTGTGTCGGCTCCTTTCTTGCATGAACCAATTATAAAGTGCGTCTTCTACTTGCGGAAATTCGCCTACTTTTAATGTCTTTCTTACCTTCGAAGATGATTCACTACTCCTCTTAAAGAATGATTCGATCTGCTCCTTCTTCTTCTTTATGTCGTGTATAGTTGCACGGCCGATATTGTATTCCTTAGACAGATAAGCCAACTTTTCACCCTTTTCCAAACGTTTTAAAATCGTATACTTTTTATCTAAAGTCAGCGTTACATGCTTACGTTTTCCCGACATCGCACTACACTTGTAGATTGTATAGTATATACACTGCACTCACAACACTGCCTTCACTCAACTCACACGCCACGCACTGTACGCAACTACCCGTAGCAGACGTCAGTCGTCAGTGTACTGCTGTTGTGAAATATGGACACTCGCGTTTTCAAGTCTAGACATGAAAATTTACTGAATATTCGGCGAAAACACAGTGCCGGATTACTGGACGTGCCGGTCTAATGAACGGCCGGATTATAGAGACTCTACTGTATATATTTATATATGTGTCCGTTAGCGCGATAACTCAAGCAAAATTGATCCGATTTTGATGAAATTTGGTACAAACATGTAAACCTACATTTATTCGAACGAGTTCGCGAACCAGCATAATCGGACCATGGGATCAGGGGTTTATGGGGGGTTTTATGGGGTAAAAATGGGTTTTTCTCATTTTTGACCCTAAAAACTTAAAATTTCTAAATTTCTCTCTAGACCATTTTGAAGAGCTTAAAAAAACAAATAATTTAGTATATTGAAGTGTTTTTGAATGTTCATTGACTATGGAGAAAATTTAAAAAATTGTAAATTTAAAATTCCCATGTTATTCTTATGGAGAATAAATAAACTGTTCTAGTTTGCTTGTTTATGGATATATTTTAATCAAATTTGGCAATTTGGTTTATTTCATACTAAGCTATCAATATTTCAATTGAAAAAACACATCTCAACATCTTCCCCGTAGCAGCAAACCTAACTACTCACTAAAATTAATGTTATTTAAATAGGAAATAAATCTGAAAATTTATAGGGAATATTTTAGTAGAAATCAAGCCGGGTAAATGGAAATTCGCTTAGGATGCAGGTTTGCTGCGACGGGGGTATTTGATCAAATTTGTCGCAGTTGATGTGAGCCACTGACAGATTGTGCTGATCTAAATTACTAATTTCTGTTGAATAAACAAGGTTTTTTTACCAAGTCTAACTGAGGGAACAACTTATTATGAGCTATAGCAACTGTTATGACCCATAAACTATGTCAGCAACGAAAAATAAGGTAGAAAATAGAATTTTAGACACACTCTGTGACTGGCTAAGACAACTACATTCTTTTTTAGTAAATTTTCATATCAGAGCAATCTGTAAGGTGGCTCACATCAACTAAGACAAATTTGATTAAAAACCTGGCGACAACTTTTACATCCGGGTATGGAATGTCTAGGTAATATGTTCCTGATTTTATCAGGTATTTTCTTTACATATTTGTATTATTAGTTTTACCCATTCTTCACAGTTATTGATAAAAGGTTTATCTTACCTAACGTCAGTAAACATTGCAGAAGGAGATATAAAGACAGAGATTTTGTCGTATCTTCCAATCAGTTTCATCCCTATTTTCAATTTTTTTATATCCCCATATCCCATATCCCAATTTTTTATAGGAATCAATCCTAAGGCTTACCTTTTAAATAATGTTTCTGAAATGCTTGAGTGGAAAGCAGTGTGTCTAATAGCTTTGTTTCACAGTGTTTTGTCCTGATCGTGACAATTTGTCGGGAAGCGATTGATGACTTCCGTCGTCACCAGAGGGACCAAGAAGTCAACAGTCAGAAGTACAAGCGGCTGATACGAGCTCGGGACGGTCTCGTGGCCACGGAACTTGTACCTGCCAGCAAACTTAAAGTTGGCGATTTGGTAAGTTATACCAAAGTGCTTCATATCCTAATTTGCTCTGGTTATGCTACCCATAATAAGTTAATAGAAGGAATTCACAGTTGATAGTGATAAACTCATTGGTTACAAAGAAAATTTCTTTTTAAAATTAAGTTTGAGCTTTGTCTGTAAATTTATAGGCCTACCTTGCTCATATTTGGTTCAATCTCTTATTAGCGTTCACACGTTTTTTGCGTATGTCTTTTGATTTTAAAATCTAATTTAAAAATACAAAATGTAACAAAGATCCAATATTACAGTACTATGGATTCGGGTACTCTTCAGGAATAAATCCATATTAGAATCTCCAGTATGGCAGTTTAAACAAAATTGGACCTTTCTCAATTCACTACCACTATATTTAAATTAAATTGAAATGTAGCAACTCACAACTAAGTTTCAAGCTGTGAGCTGTGTCTTGGTTTTTACGTAACCTAACCCAACCCAACATCAAATAACCTAATCCTAAACAAGATTTGTGTATAATTATACTATTTCAACCTGAAAAAAACATGGTGGTAGTGAATTAAGGGAATAAGGTCTCAGAAATTGAATGGTTACATGAAAAAGCACCCATGGTGCAAAATCAATAAAATATATACAGTAGGCCTTATACTACTCCACTAATTTTTAGAGAAATAAGCTTTGGGCCTACTGCATAAATATTTATATTGAACAGTGCAAAACGAATAAGTTGTGACTTTTTTTTATTACGAAGGCTAGGTTTAACAAATCAGCTTAGTTTTTCTCAGTAGGCTGTCCAAATCAAACAGATCTGAATCAGATGGACTCCACTTTACTTCATTGGCAAACTTTGTTTGTTTAGTCGCATCAATTTTTAAGGGAACTTGTTTTCAAAATATTTGAAAGTTAAGAATACAATATTTTTACCTCCACAGATCATCGTAGAAAAAGACCAGCGAGTACCGGCAGACCTGGTGTTGCTGCGGACGACGGAACGTTCTGGAGCTTGTTTCGTCAGAACCGACCAACTGGACGGAGAGACAGACTGGAAACTACGTCTAGCCGTGCCTGACACTCAGAAGTTGGAGACAAACGCTAAACTGTTTGAGATACATGCATCCCTGTTTGCTGAGAAACCGCAGCGGGATATTCATAGCTTCATTGGTACTTTTACTCGGGTGAGTAAGAGCGTTCTATTACTTTGCGTAGTAATAGGAGAGTTTTTTTTTTATGGTAAAGAGGCCAAGCCTCCAGTTAAGTACAGTAGAGTCCCGCAAACTCGGCTCGCGATAACCCGGCAGTCTGGATAACTCGGCCATCACCTGGCTCAGAAAATTAGTGATTTTTTGAGTTTGAGTTAAAAATGGACTCAAGCCAAATCATTCGCAACTCATACCAAGGATTTGTTGTACTATATCTGATGACTTAATAGTGACTTGTAAAAAAAATATAAATAAAAAAGGCAGTTAATAAGCTTACAAATTTTATTGTTCTTATTTTTAACCCTAGTTCCTGATAACCCGGAATTTCACAAACTCGGCACCCTTCCAGTCCACATTACGCCGAGTTTGCGGGACTCTACTGTACTAAGCTTTTCCACATAAGATTTTAAGTTCTGATGAAAATTTAAGGTTTTCCTAAAGCATATTTCAGCAATTCGCACTACTCTACCTTAATTTTAATTGCAAAGGTCATAATTGTATTTTCTACAATTTTAAGGTTTAGAAAATAGTATCTAGTGTGCTGCAGTTTCTGGGTTATGTTTCCAGATTGTACACCAACCTCTTGTATAGCTGTGATGTTATTGCTTATGCTTACTTTACGTTAGGATCACACAAGTTCTAACATGAATTACTGATGTTGACAGCACGATGGTAGCGGAGAGGACAGTCTGGATGTAGAGAATACGTTGTGGACCAACTGTGTAGTAGCGTCGGGCACAGCTGTGGGAGCCGTCGTCTACACTGGTATGGAGACTAGGAGTGTGATGAACAATTCGCAGCCTCGCAGTAAAGTGGGACTACTGGACATGGAGATCAACCAGCTCACTAAGGTATGAATGTTTGATTCGATGAGAATACTGTGAGGAGGTTAGACAAAAGGGAATGTATGAAGGTTAAGGTTAACTACCTTGTTCAACTTCAGTTTTTTTTTTAGAGCATGCAATAAGACTATAAAAGATTAAAGGACGGAGAATCTACGTTAACCTTTACTTACTTACTGCCATGGCCACTTGTACCCAAGCTGGTACTTGGCCTCGCCAACACGATGTCGCCAGTTCTCTCGGTCCTCCGAATCTTCCTCTACTAGTCTCATCTTTTCCATATCCTTCTGGACTTGATCCCACCACCTAGCTTTTGGTCTTCGTACTGGTCTCCTTCCCCTCGGATCTCCCCTTCGTACCTTCTTCAACAAGCTCTCCTCATTTCTTCCAAGATATGACCAACCCACCTTAGCCATCTGCTTTTGACCTCTTACAATATCGGGGTCTCGGAATGATTCTCTTAACTCTTGGTTGTGGCAGATACTCCATACTCCATTACGTTAACCTTTATCTATTCTAATTTATCTTGGTCGGTGGCAAGAATATGAAAGCTTACAAGAGGAAATCCGATGCATGAATGTTAAATGAAACACTTGCATCCCGTGAGAAACTATAGTGCGGATATAACATGTGGAGACAACGTGTTATTTGATTGCACAGAGCCAAATGAGGCTATTTAAAGTGCCTTGAAACAATGAGGTAGATACCCGCATCAGCCCTCTTAGATTGGATTCTGCAGTTTTGAAGGTATCGTAAGTGTAGTAACATGACCACAACAAAGGCTTTCTGGTCCATAATGAATACAGAATATTCTGTCTTCTGTGTAATGTGGTAAAAACTACATTACCTGTTTCAGTTTTCAGCTATATTAGGCCTACTGTTTCATGCATGTTGTCTGTTCCAGGTTCTGTTTGCTGCAGTTATTGGGTTAGCGTTTGTGCTGATGTGTCTAAAAGGTTTCCAAGGGCCTTGGTACAGATACATGTTCCGATTTGTCTTGCTGTTCTCGTACATTATTCCCATCAGGTTCGTTATAAATTTTAAAAGTTTAGTAATTTTTGTTTTGTTCATTGCCTTAACTGTGTTTTGCTAAATTAGGTTGTTACTGAAAAAATTGTGTTATAATACTTTCTGGAGAATTCCGAGTAAAAATGGTTCGCTAGAAAGAATAAATAGGTCATTGGAAAGTTTTATCTTCTTTCATGGGATTACCCTAGTATATAACTTTTAATCCTTGCTTGTTGACTTGTGGTACATGTTGTGGTACATGAATTGCAACATTGGATGATACTAAATAGCCATTAAGCATGCCATAAGCTCAAACACGACAAAACTTTACGGTTTTTATAAGTTTATTCATTCTGTTTCATATGTTCTTTTTAGCTTGAGAGTCAACCTTGATATGGGGAAGGCTTTCTATTCTTACACGATGCAAAGAGACAAGGAAATGCCAGACACTGTTGTAAGGTTAGTGTTTAATTTGTTTACATCACAGTCAATATTATTTTGAAACTGACAAAATGTGTTGAGTATTTACACCCAAAAGAAAGTTGTAGGAATATAGTTCAGTATTCATCTCATAACTAATAGGATTAAGAGGTGACAAAATATTTAATCTAGGTCGCAGTTCAAAACAAATTTGGGGTTGATATTTTTTTATATGATTCTGGTAAAGATATGTGTAAGCTAGAAGGAAACAAAGTGAAATCCATCCAGTATAAATTGCTGCTGTTAAATAACCATATACTGTGTCATCAATTATAACGTTCAAGCAAAAGAGATCGGATAGTGTTGGATATTTGAGATTTAGCATGTAATAAATACTTATCCTCTTCGGTTCCAATTGTTCCCTGGTCTGAAGATCAACTAGGCCTCTCCATCTTCTCCTATCTCTCCACAGTTTCTTTCCCTTTGCCATCTGATTTATTCATCACTTCTTCATATCCCTATTCATTTTTCCACCTTCTTCCACGTTCTGTCAGTCTTATTTTCTCCAACACCAATTGTATTTTACTAAGAACCCTTTCTTCTCTTGCTAACATCAACTATTGTTATATTTAAGTTTTCAAAATTGTCATGTGACTCTTGTTTACAGGTGTACCACCATCCCGGAGGAGCTGGGCAGGATCTCATATCTCCTTAGTGACAAAACAGGAACTCTCACTCAGAACTCGATGGTGTTCAAACGTCTCCACCTGGGAACCGGCTCTTACTCGCCCGAATCTTTTGATCAGGTCAGCACAGATATTGTCAACACAAACATCTAACATATAAACAATCAGTATGTCTGTATATACTTTGCTGTTTTTATTTGTCAGCATGTAAATTGGTAAATTGTTCTATATACCTTGGAGATAGTTTAAGTGCTCCTTACAGATTCACAATGAAGTGTAACATAACAAAACAGATATTTGTGATCCTAGTACTTCTTCAGACAGTTGCACATTAAAGAGTTTTTTTTTTCTACTACTTCATCTAGAGGATAGTATTTTTTGATCATGATGTCCTAGCCTTAACCCATTGGCATATCAAAATTGCACTACCTGATTATACAAAGGAATTCATATTCTTTGGCTTTTTTAGTGACTTAAAAAAAACTACTACTTATTTATTTTGTCTTAAATTATCATCTTCATTCTCAGAAAGATTGGAAGACAATTCGCAATCATACCGGTTTAATTCACTTCATCATAAAGAAGATAGTTAAAACGTTTTGACACAAGACATAACCTCAAAACTCTCACTAATATTTTTGTTTTCCAAAACAGGGTAGGCAACCAAAAAACTAAAAATACCCAAAATAAACATTGCAGATTGGTAGAAAAAATTATTGACCTGACAAGTGCTGCGATCCCTCAGAATAATGTCGAACTAGTAGCTATGTCCCAGGCAGAGCACCCAGAACCAGACTGCTACTCTAATCCCCTCGAGACACTTCTTATCAAGGTTTCACTGGATATGGTTTTTGTTACTTTCTCCCCCTATACCATAGTATATGGAGAAAGTATTGTTTTCGTCAAAATTTTCGAGTTTGAGTTTTGAGTGGATATATTCGTTTTGGGTCCCCCTGGACCCAAAAAAGTGGTTTTCGAAGTGATGTCTGTGTGTGTGTCTGTGTGTCTGGATGTGTACAGAGCTAGAGACTACACCTGTGGTCCGATTCCGATGAAATTTGGTATGTAGGTTCTAATCCATGGTATCTCCAGGCGTTTTTTTCATTTTTTTGAAATTTTGATTTTTAATGGGGATTTTCCCATAAAAACCCATAAAAAACCGGAAAAATCGGATTTTCTCAAAAATGGCCCGAACGATTTTGATACAAATTTAGTATGTTGTAGCCCTTTAAATTCTGAATAAAATGGTACAAATCCCATATCTGTAAAAATTACGGTTCAAAAGTTATGGTCAAATATGTTATTTTCCCATAAAAACCCCATAAATTACCAAAAATAGGATTTTAGAAAAAATCCGGTTTTGATTTAACATAGTATCTTCTAGTCCTTACAGTTTTGATAGTTTTTTTTTTAATTTTCTAGAAATTTTTTTAATGGGAATTTCTTATAAAACCCCATAAAATAACGGAAAAATAGGATTTTCCCAAAAATGGCCCGAACGATTTTGATAAAAATTTAGTATGTTATAGTCCTTTATATTCTGAACAAAATGGTACAAATCCCATTTCTGTAAAAATTACGGTTCAAAAGTTATTATAAAATATGTCATTTCCCCATAAAACCTCCATAAAATAACAGAAAAATTGGATTTTCCCAAAAATGGCCCGAACGATTTTGTTATATTTTAGCATGTTATAGTCCTTTAAATTCTGAACAAAATTGTACAAATCCCATTTCCGTATATTTACTCTCACCGCTTACACATGATAAAGATTGTTGACAAACTTATGGGAGAAAGTATGTGTCAGAATGCTGATACCGTTTATTTACACTGTGATGTACAGGTGAGAGAGAAGGTTGCCCAGGCGTACACAACGGACTCCACGTCCCCAGCCAAGCCAGCAGCTCAGGTGTCCAAGATCCGCCGCAGTGAGCACACCAGAGTACACGAGGCTGTCAAGGCCATCGCGTTGTGTCACAACGTCACTCCTGTGTGGGAACCAGCGACAGACGACTCACAGTCCGAAGCTGATCAACATTACAACATTGAGCAGCCTAGTGGGAGAGTCTACCAGGCTTCTAGTCCTGACGAGGTGAGACGCCAAGTGTCATTGTTGGGTTTGGGAATCCTGGGAAAGTAGGCTTTGTATTTGAGATACGTCCACTAATGTGTTTGGTCAATAACTAAAGCATTTCTGTAGAATAATTAGTTTTTGATGCTCTTGATTGTCCCATATAGAAAGGGTAAAGATGGCTAAACACAGTACAGTAGACACCAGAATTGGTGGGCCAAGCAAATAAATTTGAATTATCAATAGTCTGATTCATCAGGAGAAAAATAAACCATTCACATTACGAAGAGTTCATTTCTTTATACTGTATTATTTAAGGCACAGGACATTACAATTAACCGGTTATTTAGTTACTTTTCAGATTTCAACAAACAACAGTTTATTTTTTTTATTAATTGATTCTTGTGTCATCAATGGTATTTTTGAAGACAAACTACTGTTATAACAAGATGTATAGTTTCATGTTATGACTGGATGGAATCCCTCCCTTTGAGTTATAGAGTGTTTTGCCAAAGAACCTTAGAATTACTGCATGTTTGCCCCAAATCGGCCTGCCCTTTGCTAGGTCTTCAAAATGCTTGGTAAAACTTCGAATATTAAGAGATTCTCTACGGTCTGAGCTTTAATTTTGAAATATAGAGTGTTTTGATTTAACAAGAGTTTGAATTACCAAGTGTAGACTGTCATTTCAAATCCAAGTTTGAGGAAATGTTATCATGAATTTTCAATCAAAGTAGTAATTTAAATACATTATAAAATAATCTACCGTGACACTCGTAACTATTTACATTTTTTTAATCACTTCTAAAGTTTGCTACAAGTCTTTTAATACCAGAACTGTATTGACCTTAATCTGTAAGCATCTAACTATCACAATTACATCCGTGAACATCTTGGTTATCGTGATTCCTGTCCTAAATAATCTCTCTTGCTAAACAAAATAAAACTGTCTTGAAAAATTCTCTATTTTTTTGTAAAGTCATCATTACTATTAAACCACTTTTGAGTCTGTAAATAAACTAAATCAATTTTGTCGCAGGTTGCTTTAGTTAAGTGGACCGAAGAGGTGGGTCTGGCATTAGAGAAACGTGATCTTGTATCCATACAGCTGAGGACACCCAACAATAAAATCTTGGACTTCTCCATCCTTCAAGTGTTTCCCTTCACCTCAGAAACCAAGCGAATGGGCATCATTGTCAAAGTGAGTATTGCATTTATTTATAATAGGCATACATCAAGTAGCACAAACTACAATGTGTTATCAATTAATATTTAGGTATGTTGAACTTAAAAAAAGATTTTAGAATAAAAAATACGGTAATAATTTTTGCTAGAATAATAACCAACACTGCTATAATAGAGAGTCAAAAAGGGCCATTTAGAAAACTTAATCTAGAAAATTTTCGAGGCACACTCAATATCAGCAAATTTACTGCGACACCTGCCTATCACTCCTAAAATGCTTATTGAGAAAAATCTCCAAATATCTTCACCAGAGTCTTTCTAATCTGAACAATATATTGTTGCGAAAAGGTTCATATATTTTAATCAAAATCAAAACCATATGTTCTGAAAAGTATTTTAAAACAAATAGCTTTTGATTTTGCCCTGTTTGGCAGATGATCACCGTGTTCTCGTTATTTCTGGAGCAATATATAGTCATGAAAAACATTGTTTTAATTTTTTATGTAATTTGAATTTTTTCATTTTCCGTTAATCTGAAGAGTTTTGTAATCTGAACGTGGTCTGATCTTAACTAATTTGTATTATTTGAACTCTGATGTACTGTATTGCAGTTCCAACAAAGCCTCCTCAATGTTTGTATATTCCAGGACATGACTAGCGGAGAGATCACGTTTTATCTGAAGGGAGCGGACGTGGTTATGTCAGGCATAGTACAATACACAGACTGGCTGGACGAGGAGTGTGGAAACATGGCAAGGGAAGGACTGCGAACTCTGGTGGTGGCGAAGAAATCACTCACCGAGGAACAGTACTTGGACTTTGAGGTGGGTTGAAAACATTTCACTTTGTAGTAGTTTACCATTTAGATACTTAACTAGACATAACATCTTTGTAGACGAGCCAGAGCTGTTTAAAAAAAATGATAACGTGTGACCTTTTCCGTTCACTACCACTATTTTTAACAAAACACATTTGAAGTCTTGACCTTAGTTCTAACCTAACCCAACCCAACCTTAAAATAATGTAATCCTAAACAAATAATTTTTAACGGGCCATTTGTCTTTCCTTTAAAATGAAATTAATGTTTTGGCAACAGACAAAAGCTAATGGCACAATTTCTGCAATGGTGTAATTATATTCTGTTACAGCAGTAGTGTATAAGATTTTGTGTAAGTTAAGGTTAACATTAATAATTACAGCCTTTAAAGATGAGCGCTTTATCAGCCAAAATCATGATATGAATACATCTGCTTGATAATTTTAAGTCTAAGCCATTAGCTGTAAAGAATACAAAAATACAAAAATCCCGTAAGGAAAACCAGGTATATGTTGTTATCATACATTATTTATTTTGATTTAGAATTTCATATATAGTTGAGAAAAATATCATTTAGTGACTCAGGAAAATTGTTTGAAAAAATAAGTAGCAAGTTAAATTGTTAATCGTTTGATTTTTTTTCTCAATTATTTCAGTGTTGATGGAGCATCTCACCTAAGCAAATAAATTTTAAAATCAATATTTCAATTGTTTGAAGAATTTCTAGAGAGTTGATCACATTTCAAAAATATTATTCTTATTTACGGATACTATTCAGTATGCTATATGCTGATTTAAAATTGTTCTTTGATTTACTTCTTTGTTGATACAATCTCTTATCGACTTTGGTTACAATTTGATTTGATTTATAGTCTTGAAATTTAGATTCATTTATATGATTTTTTACTTTTCCTTTTTGTCTTGGTTAACTTCTCTAATTTCTTTGCTGCGTTTGTTAACAATAGGTTGGTGTATGACGGACGGTTTTTTCCTACTGGCCTTACACATTTTAGTTTCTTTAATGGACTTGCACATTTTGCCTCTATCAAAACTTTATCGACATTGTTTTGTTGTTTAGCTTCCATCAGAATACGCTCTAGGTCTTTGATGTCCAGCTCTATTTCTATTGTCTTTTCTAAATCCGTTGATGTTTTTGAACTTGATTTTCTTGTTATGGAACTATCAGTGAAGTTTTGACTTGTTTCTAACCATTCCTCAGAAAATGTTTGTATCCTACCTTGTGTTTTGGTTTTGTTCCATGTCGAATCGTCTGATTTGATTACTTTTATGAAACCTGTTGAGGTAAATTTGTTATTCTGGTTTTTGCTATTATGATCAAAATCCTCGGTTAGTTTGCTTTGCCTATTTCCCATTGTGTCGAATGTATAAACATTAACTGTTTGTGATTCTGTATCCCAGTTCTTTGTGTTTTTATTCATGTACTTGATTTCTAAATTATTCCACCTAACATTTGAGGGATCTCGTATTAAACTTCTATTATCTGTTCTTTGTAAGATTTGGACCTCTTTTTCCACAATTTGATCTTCGTTTATATCCTTGCAGTATTTAGAAGCTAGTTTGCCCACAATAGGTAAAGTCTGAGTTCCAATAGACACTATTGTACCAACCTTTCTGCTGTCTACACAATCGAATCCTTCAAATTTGATAATTTCTTGAGAATGAACGCTAACCTTACTATGAAGTGATTTTTTCCGTTTCAAAATTTTCTGTACATTTCTGTCACTAATGTCCAACTCGCACACAAAAGACGACATCTTGTCACCTGTATCCGAGCTTTTCCAAGTTTCGTCTGTTGATGATAACGAAACAATGTCACAATGCATACCCTCTTTCAACGGGACATTCTCAAGTTCGTTAACTATGAGCATTTCAATTCTAGTCTTTAGATCTTTACTAACTTTCACATTTCGGCCATTCCATTGTATGAGACTTGTTTTTGAGAATATTGTTCTTTTATGTGGAATATTTGTAGGGTAAACTTTTCCAATTGTTTCTTTTCTGTCAACTTTCGCGTTCATCGTACAATATTGTGAATATTCTCTGTGTTTACTCTTTTTTCTTTTCTTCTTCCTTTGTTTTGTATCTCCCGCACATTCTTCTCTGCTCGGTGTAGTCCTGTCCATACAAGATGTACATCCGGATATAGAGTTTGAACTTTTAACCTTAACTTCCATTTCACTCCGCAATGGTCGTACACAGCAGGTATCGGAGTGTGAACGGTATAATCTATTGATTGACAGTTTAGTTTTTTTCTTTGTGGACTTCTTTTCTTTTTTATTCATTTTCTTGGTGGGTTGGAAGAAACTTTGATAGTGTAATGGTATAAAAAGTTCTGTGTTGTTTTTCACTTCACCGTCCTTACTTTCCATAACATCAAATAAAATGTTGTTTACCATTTTTCCTAATTTGACTGTTGGAGTATCACCCATGTTTTTCTTATGATACTTTTTGTTGTTGGTTGCAGTTTTCATTTTTCCTATCTCATTCTGTAACATCCTCACGTCTTTTTCCACCACTTCACTTTTACTTAGCCTTGAACTTAGAAAAATACTACTTATTTTGTTCACTATATAATTTGGTTTATACAACTTTTCCTGGATGTTGTGTACTTCTTTAGTTCTATATACAGCTTTTGGTTTATCGGAACTTTCTGTTTTACCACTTCTTTGATAATTTTTCATATTTTGGTCAATAGTTTCTCCTGGTTTAATGTTCTCAAAATTCTCTTTGTCGTTTTGAATTTCTGTTTTGCTCAGATCTTTGAATTTTTGACTAGCTACTGGACAGAAAAGAGGCTTATGAATTTGTTTTGTTTTGATCTTAAGCATATTTTCACCATCTCCTTTCTTATTTTCGATGCTTGATTTGTTCATAATGTATTCTTTACTGGTAACTTTCCTAAACCAAGATTGATGCTTCTGAGGAACAGATTCTTTTTTCGTATGACTATCGTCGTCAATTTTAAACAGCATTCTATCCTGCGTCTGATTAATTTTGGACGATCCATCCTTGTTGTGTTGTATTATCGTTACCTCTACTAACGAGTTAGCCGGCGAGTTTGCAAACGAGTTCATCAACTCTATTTCTAGAGTAAGTTCTACACTTTCTCCTTTTTTCAAATTATTTTCTCTCGTAAGGTTTGATATAGTGTCAGACAAAATGTCTCGTAGTTTTGCGATGTTGTTTTGGAAGTTTTTGTCTTGGACAATGTTGGTTTGGGTGAACTTTGGGTGCTTTACAATGGTGTTTTGTACACTTTGGTTTTGGTATTCACGTTGACTAGGACACATGTAAGAACGATATGTTTGTGTTGGTAGATTCTTGTAAGAGGTGATCTTACTTTGGTCAAAGCAAGACATTGTGTACTGCCTGGAAAAAATATAGTAATTAACAGCCACAACAGTTTAAATGGAATCATAGAGTTTGAGAAACTACCAAAATGTTATGCACATTGAACAACCAACCCAAGAAAATAGTTCTAGGTTTTAGCATTGTTTTAGTCCATAACAAGTTCACAATACGGTTAACATCTGTTTTGCTTCTCCTTATTTAGTTGAGTACCTATCAATTCCTCATTTGTTGAACAGAGTATATAGGTAATTTTCTTACAAAAACTTTATAAATACAGAATTGGCTACATGATGGATGGCATTTTTATTTGTAAATTTTTTTTCTTTCACATTCAACTTAATTTGTTATCAAAAGTGTTGTTAATGCTTGTGATATAAAAATATAAATAAACATATAAATTTGTGCAATATGGAAATACTGGACGTGACTTAGTCTCTACACTTTAAGTAAAATCTACTTTTTTATTTTCCATCCACCAGTAAAGTAATAACAATCTCCTCAACATACATTAATATTTTTACTCATGATAGTACCTAATGAATAAATCCTACCTCTACCTGTAGACTTTTAACCTCACCTTAGCTAAAATGAAATTTGAATTTTCTTTTTCATAATCCTCTTTCCACTAAAAAAACTAATGAATTGAAACCAAGTTCTTCAAAGATTTGAAATTTTTAATTTTTGTCAAAGAAAGAATATTTGCATAGTTTAATTCATTTTAATAACTGAATAGGTAGTTTTTTTAATCTTAGAAACCATGTTTATTTACAATTAGAATGGAGTAAACAAAATGGTAATAAAATATGAACATGTGACCTTAAACATATGTTTACAAATAAGTACATGTTTTAAATGTTCCCATTCCATCCAGACATTCCAGATAAGAAATAAATAAGTTAGATTTTTACATCCTGACACATTTTGTTTAATGTATAGTGAATATATAAATATTTTAAAATAAAAATTTAACATCTTTTATAATAATTTATTTACAGGGAAATAGGATAACCGGCTTAGATATTCCTTGGTTTTTGCCGTTGGCTGGTTTGAATTTGTCACTTTTTTGCTATTAAATTACAGGGAACCTGGGAGATAAATAAAATGTTAGATGTGTGTACAAATATTCCCTCTAAACTTGAAAGGTAAAAACGCATATATTTTATGCCCTTGGGAGAACATAGGAAACACAGATAAAAATTGCCTTGATAAAAAAGCTTACTCTTTCCAAACAGTAAAACAAATATAACTATGAAAGCAGCTTCAGATGTACTTGAGTAATGGTGGCTTAGTCCTGTCCTAGTACTTAACCTTAACAGTGGTAGCTGGAGTCTTTTTCTGTTACACTTAAATACAATAAGTTACTTATAAGTTTACTAAAGTAAAACAAATTTTGTTCTTTTTCATACAAATGAAAAAAAAGATCTATTCCTAAAACTACTACTACTACTACTGTTTACTGCCGTGGCTCTTGGTACCCAAGGTGGTACTTTGCCTCGCCAACACACTGCCTCCAGATTTTTCTATCCATTGCCTCCTCTTACCTACCTTCTTCCCAGTCTTCTTAGGTCTTTTCTAACCTGGTCTTGCCATCTCAACTTGGGCCTTCCTGGTGGTCTTCTGCCCTCCGGATTGTTCAAAAGGACGTTCTTGACTAAGGAGTCGTCCTCTTTTCTTAGTAAATGGCCAGCCCATCTCATTCTCCTACCTCTCACCTCGGTCACTATGTCTGGGTCCATATGTAATTCCCTCAACTCCGCATTGTGTTTTATCCTCCACTCTCCATCTTCGAAGGTTGTACCATATATTTTTCTCAATGTTTTTTTCTCTCAAATACTATCAAACAATGAATCAAGTAAAATCAACTAAATATTTAAGCTTTATAATTTCGATAAACATCTAAAGAATGAGCACAATAGTATTTTGTTTATGAAATTAAGTAGGGGATATCGTTTTTTACCTTAGTCGTATCTTTTTTTTAAACCAGTGTTGAAAATTATTTACCACTCCTTTGTAGAACGGCATATTGGTTATGGAATAGAAATTTATGGTAGCACATTGCACAAGAACTTCCGGAAAATTTTAAACTGCAAAAACAGGCTATTATAGTTCGGCCGCTTAGAAAGCGACCTCCTCCAGCATTGGTTTAGCATTAACGCGCAGTTTGTTTTCTAAGCGGCCGAACTATAGAATCATTGACAATGTTAAATATAAGAAATCAGTGAAACCAGGAATCAGGAATTTTTTACAGTTTACAATATGTACATATTTAAAACTAATCAGCGTTTTTATAAAGATGAGAAATTGTAGGTCTATATAATTAATCAATTCTTAAATATAACACTAGGTGGAAAAATCGAACAGTAGAGAGTTACCTCCATCTGGAATTTTTCAAAATAAACCCATCCTATATTGGCAATGGCAATCTATTTATGAGAATTCCTTTTCACTTAAAATTTCGCTAAAATAAAACAAAATGACACTATATTCTTAAACAAATTAAAATTGTACCATATTTGATCAAACTCTCTACAGTTTTTAAGAATAAAAAAAGACTATTATACTCAAAAAATTAATCTGCCTTTTAGGCATAAATAGTTAGTTTTTAATTGTTGTAACAAATTTTACCGACACTATTCATTTACAATACATGTACCTATACAAAGAATAAAGACAGTTTGATTTTACATAAACTAACGTAACATAACCGCAACAATAACATGACCTGTATTACAGACCAAGTACAATGCAGCCAGGATGGCCATCACGGACAGAGGCTCGCGAGTGTCAGCTGTGATAGAGAGTCTTGAGAGAGAGATGGAGCTGCTGTGTGTGACTGGGGTGGAGGACAAGCTCCAGGACAAAGTGAGGACTACGCTGGAACTTCTGCGTAACGCTGGCATCAAGGTAAACATCTACTTGGAACTGCGGTTGATTAGTAGACGTTTTGCTGTACAGGTTTTGTAATTTATTTTGCCGTTTTTGTTCTTTTAAATCATTATACATTGGCTATGTCTACAAAAAAGTTACATAAATACAGTTTGTCTGAACATATCATACATCTGAACCTATTTGTCTTAACTCATTTACATTGGATGAATCCCCCCTTAAAAATGCACTTTAGCCTATGACTGCCTCTCAGCAAAAACCTCATTGTAACAACAATTTGATACTAGTTCTGAGTATCAGGGGATGGCTCGATTTTTGGGTGATTAGGGAAAACATTGAAGAACAGTATTCTGTTGTAATATACATATTTTTGAAAAAGGTAGTTGAATGCTTTGGTTTAAGAAGATTGAAACTGTTTTGCATAGAATAGGAGCAAAATCTAAAAGAATTGAAGGATTTGCTCAAGGATATACGGTGCCTAAGTTGTAATATTAAAAACCGAAAAACTTAGCAAGGAATACTTTAGCTAATTTTGAAGATCGAATTGTTTTCTTTGAAGTCCAAGTAGAAATTGAGTTTTTTCATTCTCACATCCCCATGTCAGCACTGCCATAATAGGCTATCAGAAGTACAGTCCTCAGAGAGTAATTTTACCAAATAAGACCTGTCAATTGTTTTATGCAAAATATTTATAGTAAGCACAGTAAAGAAATTACTTAATTCTGTTTTACCAAGGTTTGGATGTTGACTGGTGACAAACTGGAGACTGCGACTTGCATTGCCAAGAGTAGTCGGCTGGTGAGCAGTCGGCAGGATCTGTACGTGTTTGCTCCCGTTGTGACACGCACGGACGCGCATCTTCAGTTGAACACCTTCCGCAAGAAGCAGGACTGCGCTCTGGTCATTACTGGGGACTCCCTTGAGGTGAGGGCTAAAAGTTGTGAAATGTTTGTATGTACTTCAATATTCTTTTCCAGGTCTCGTCTTCTGCTAGCCCTCCACTATTCTCCCTCCATTATTTATTTAGCTGTTTCATGCAATTTTCATTTAGCTACATCCCTCCTCACCTAATTAAACTACAGTTAGACTCCCTCTTATACGGACACCTTTTAACCGGGTATCGGTTAAACCGGACTACACTCGGCGGAAATCACATGTCTATAACCGGACAATTTTTATCAGCACATCGGTTAAACTGGACTATATTAGTAGGAAGTGGACGATACTGAAACGACTGTTCTAGTGGGAAAGATTTGAGACCAGTGATCACGTGTTCAAATACAATGCTCTCCTAAATTTAAGTCGACTACTGTTTACAGTATGCATTTAAACTGTCCATTTTAACGAGTCTTTGGGGATGTCGGTTAAACCGGAAATACCGTTATCTGGACTGGCCTCGGTCCCGAGGAGTCTGGATAAGAGGAAGTCTACTGTAGGTTCTTGTAGGCGTCCTCTTCCCTCTACCACTGTCAACTCCATTTTCCTAGGAATTCTCTCTTTTTCAATACTCTAAGTCACAACCATCTTGGCTTTTTATTTTAAAACTCTGTCTCATGATAAGCTGTCTTCAACTACTACATTTCTGATCTTTTAAACATAACTGAGTAAAAATTTAAAAACGTACGTTTTCAGGAAAAGCACTTTGCAAATTTTTTCCCCTTTTTTCAAAACTTTTATTATTTTTTTATTTCATTAACATTTGAAGTTTCATAAAATGTCCATGGTAACGCAATATCTTTGGTAGTTTTTTTTTTAAAGAGCATCTTTAGTGGAAAAACACAATATCCTGTCACGACCGTAACGGACGTTTAAATGAATATTAAAAATGGTTAATATTATTTTTATAACTATGTTTTGCTTTAAACTAATTTACTTTTACGACCATTATACAATAAAAAGGTCACTGAGCTTTTGGTATATTTGGTCTTTCAAGAAAAAAAGAAAAAAACTCAAAAAATTGAAAAAAAGCCAATAAAATCTTTTTAAGTTTGTATAACTCCGAAAAAACTTACCTGAGACTCGAAAAATCGTTATGTTTGTATAGAGGTGTGCTTCTTTTGTGTATAAAACATTGAAATATGACGATATTTTAATTTTTGAAATTTTTATGATAGAAATCATAAACGTGATGGTCAGGGACAAGCGGTACGGTCGTGAATTGTCTGGAATAATTAAATATTTCTAAACAATCCTTCAATTATACTGTTAGTTATAATAAAAATATGTGTTTCAATTGAACTAAACTGTTCAATTTACAATTATATTAAAGTTATTGTCACAACCAAACACACTATAATCCATAAGGCTGGATTGGTCGTGGAAAAAACCCGCGATGGTCGTGAAATTACGTGTTATTTGGCTCTGTTCTGGTGGTAGCCCTGCACCTCATGTTCGAGGATACAAAGTGGACTTCTAGGTTAATCTAGCAATTGAAATATCTTATAAACAAAAATTAACACCATGTCTACTTCATCGAATGACTACGTATGGTCATGGACACACCAAAATTACAAAAAACACAATCTTTCCTTTATCAATCTTGTAATTCCTCCTTTCAACTCGAAACGACCGGCACTGCAATCCTGACGTACACCCCGAACTAGTCTCTAAAACCAACTGACTCCATCGACGCCAGGCTTGCCACTGTCGTGCTCCAAAGTTGAAAATTTTTCCCAAATGGTTGTGACTCCAAATCGAGGGACAGACTTATTTTGTCATGGTAGTCAGTTCGCAATGGCAATAAAATTATAATATGCTCCTTTTTTGTAAGTTTAATAACCATTGATGACATAAAAATATGGCTTTATATATTTCGGCATGAATAATTAGTCTAAAAACAGCGTGAAAGTTGGAAAATGTACCCTAGGGACACGTCATGGTCGTGAATTTTGAGACTTTAAAAATACGAAAAAAATACCTAGAACCTATTTAAAACCAAATAAATGTGTGTAACATCTTGCCCCCGTCCCAAAAAATATTAAAACACATAATAATAAACTACAAATCCAGTATCTACGAAATAAAAGGCCAGGGACATGAAAACGTACGTTTTTAAATTTTCACTCAACTATTTCCTACCTTGTTTTAGTCGTGATATTCTCCTCTCTCTACTGTAGATCAGATAAGTAAGTAATTACCTCTTGTGTGAAATGTTGGTTTATAGTCCTATTTAATAAGTTTATAAATTAATTGTGAATTATAGGAATTTTATTTTTTGCAGTTATAAGTGTGTAAATCATCTCTATTCAGTATTTTTTATGACTCAGCCCAGTTGTAATATATTGGGAAATACAAGTTGAGTTTTACGCCATGCCCACTCATTCTATTTATTGTGACCACGAGTTTACTTTAACTATTAATTAACGGCTGTGTCTAAGGAATGTCGGCCTTAGTCACTAACAAGACTACAAGATCGCTCCACTCATCCTACACTCATCTCCATTCATACTTGGCTTAAAATACTTACTATGTATGGTTGCCATTTCATTGAACAGAACAGAACAGACTTTACATTGTGGGTTCAAGGGTACACCTACTCTTGAAATATGTTTTGCTTGTGAAAGTTCATTCAGTTCAGGTTTTTGGTGGGCCTGGTTCTAGCAGATGCAAGCAAGTCGGATTTGTCTGTGCTTGACATTTTCCATCGATTTTCTAAATTTCTTAAAACAAATAAGTTATATAAATATCCAATGTGTAACGTGTAATGTATGTTGTGGTGTAGGTGTGTCTGCAGTACTACCAGCTGGAGTTGCTAGAGCTGGCGTGTCGCAGTCCTGCAGTGGTGTGCTGTAGATGTTCCCCGACACAGAAGGCTCAGGTCGTGCGGCTCATACAGCAACACACGGGCAAGAGGGTGGCGGCCGTGGGAGACGGAGGCAATGACGTCAGCATGATACAAGCTGCAGACACAGGTAAACTGGTTGTAGCTTGTGGTACTTAAGAATACGTAAGGTTGAGGGGAGAAACTAGTTCCCAAAATATACTTTCTGAGACTCTCAGCTAGATTACCTGTGAGACGTTTATTTTTCAGTAGCTGGTTTCAGTTGTAAGAAGTAAATAGTAAGAAGTAAATCCGATCTGAATCATTAACTTGCAATACATTTTTCATGATATTGTTAAGAAGAAAAAAATACCCCCGCCGCAGCAAATCTGCAGACTAAGCGAATTTCCAATAATTGCCTAAATGGATTTACACTAAAATGTCTCCTTAAAAATATCGCATTTATTCCCTATTTAAATAGAATCAGTTTAACACATACTTAGGTTTGCTGTAACAGGGGGGTAAAAGTGTTTTTTTTATGTAAAATGTTAATAGTTAGTAAGAACTAAATAAAAACATTTTCCAAATTTGGGCAAAATATGTTAATAAACAAGCAAACTACAACAGTTTACTTATTCTCCATAAGAATAACATGGGAATTTTAAAATTGAATTTTTTTGGAATTTTCTCCGTAACCATTAGGCGCATTATAACGCTTCAATATACTAAATTATTTGTTTTTTTAAGCTCTACAAAATAGTATGGAAAGAAATTGCAAAATTTTATGTTTTTTGGGTCAAAAATGGGAAAAACCCATTTTTACCCCATAAAAGCCCCCATAAACCCCCGTTCCCATGGTCCGATCATGCTGGTTCGCGAACTCGTTCGAATAAACGTAGGTTTACACATTTGTACCAAATTTCATCGAAATCGGATCATTTTTGCTCGAGTTACCGCGCTAACGGACACATATATAAATGAATTTGAATGGATGGTATTTTTGGTCCAGGTCTTACCATGAGTACTACGGTAGGCCTAATAGCTTATTCCCTATATGGGAAATTCGCTAAAAAGAAAAAAAAACTTGTAGCCTACTAGTTTTAAGTTATATTATTGTATTTTTATTGACGCCATTGTATTATTCTTAATGGAACTACAAAATAAAGAATGATTTGATTTAAATATCAGTTATAAGTAGGGATGGACGGGATTACATTTTTAGTTCGGGACGGGACAGGATTTTTATTAAGTCTTGAGTATTACAGTTGAACCAAAAAAGACAAAACAAATAAATTTTTACCGTTTGTGGGTCTGATCTATAAAAACCAAAAATGCGTAAAAATTTATAGGTATAGTAACTTGTGACTCGTGGTCACGGCGCAATGGTCGAAATGACTCGCAGTCACAGCGTGATCGTCGAAATGACTTATGGTCTGGGCACGATTGTCGGATTTATTCGAGATAACAAATTTCCTGATTGTTGGACGCGATTTTTGGGACATCAGCCAAGCCCCGCCACAGAGTCTGCCAATCGCGCCTGACGTCAACCGATCATACCAACATCCGACATTGACAATCGCGCCCGACATCTGCTGATCACTCCAGACGTTTTCCGATCACGAATGACTATGGCTTAGAACAGCATGCAATGAAGTTACACTTACTGACAACATAAATATCATGAAGTTCTTATACGATTATTAACAACCATACCAATGTGGAGCTTCTATATCACACAGTTTATCACACTTTACTCAGTTTTGTCTACTTTGCAGGTATTGGTATAGCAGGTCTAGAAGGTAGACAGGCAAGTCTGGCTGCTGACTTCTCTATCACCCAGTTCTCCCATCTGGCTAGACTGCTGCTAGTTCATGGCAGGTTAGTGGCAGAGAAATACTGACAACTTAATTACTACTTGCTACTCTTAGGCTGAATGAGGAATAGTTGAGTTTGGCAAAAGAAACACAAAAGTTTGAGTATTCATCTGTCGCTGACAGCATTTTCAACCAAAAAAGTGTTGAGTTAGGAAGAAAAATAATGTCTTCCAATAGTGGTTGAATGTTCATTGATTTTTTTGTACAGTATAGTGTAAAGTTATGTGTTCTTATGCCACAGTGAACTTTTCCCCAATTCAAGGAAGCCTACAATATTAAAAACCTAAGTTCAAATTATTCAATGAATTTATTGTACTTTAATCTTTATGATGGGTCAACACATTGTACAACAGGTATCTTTAAGATCACATATTGAGTAGCAATCTTTAGCCACATACCTTGACGTCAAATTAAGTAAGACTCAGAACCAATGCAACTCATTAATTTTTAAATGGATTGACTGTTTAGTCACGTATAGTTCAATGCACTACATTTATTTTGAAATTGGTTTATATTTTTAACTACCAATCAAATTTATAACCCTATTCTTGTTGTCTCCAGGTACAGTTACAAAAGGTCTGCATCTCTAGGACAGTTTGTGATACACAGAGGTCTGATTATCTCCATTATGCAGGCCATATTCTGCACTGTCTTCTACTTCTCATCCATTCCACTCTACCAGGGATACCTCATGGTGGGGTGAGTATCATCTACTATCAGAGAAATTATTAATCAATAATCAATGTTGGGTTTGAATATTCGTTTTGCAAGATGCTTACTGGAAATAGTTGAGTGTTTGCCTGTGTGCATAGAATTTTGGTTTGATTACCTAATTAAAATAAGTTTCTTTCTTCAAATATTGTTGACTCAGTTAAATTAATTGTGATGTGATTGCAATCTTTTACCCTCGCAGCAAAATCTGGAATGTCATATGCGATTGTGCAGATGTTGTGTTAATTTAAGATAGCAGGGAAAATGTGATTCCTCGTCTCCCCCCAATCTTGGTAGAGGTTGTGCGTTTCCTGGTGAAGCCTGGGGGTAGGGTTGAAGCCCATACAAAACCGGTTTAGAGCCACTCTAACCACCCACCCTCCAGGCTTCACCAGGAAACGCACGAACTCTAATATTGAGGACATCTCCCACGATTACAAAGGCATCATAGTATCCCGTGATTGCGAGAAAATTTAGAGTACCTACAGTCACGGAAAAATCTTGAATGTCAGAGGCGATGTCTTGCAATCGCAGCTAACGTGCCCAAATCTTCTGCGATCATGGCAAGATCTTTGGATAACTGACCCGTTTAGCTAAAAAATATGTTATGATAAAAAACAAAACCGAATACTTTGTCTATTCATACATAATGCGTGAACAAATTCCCTTATCTAGGCACACCTAAACATAATCTTGGGAGTTTGTGATATGGAGTCTTAGACAGTAGCTTGAAGGACTGAAACCAAAGACAGGAACATTTTAGATTTGTGGTAAAGGTACTTAAAATTAATTAGTACAATTCATTCTTGAACCATACCAGATCCTCTCTTGCTTATGGTTTCAGGACTATATGGCAAATTCAAGGTAAAAAGAGATCATTTGCTACAAAAAATGAATAGATAAATTACTAAATAATGACATTTGTCTGCAGGTATGCTACCATCTACACCATGTTCCCTGTCTTCTCGCTGGTGCTGGACAAGGACGTATCAGACAAGATAGCCCTGACATACCCGGAGTTGTACAAGGAACTGAGCAAAGGCAGATCTCTCTCTTACAAGACATTCTTCATGTGGGTGCTCATCAGCATCTACCAAGGTAAGTTGGCACTATACTGGAGTAACAAACACTTAACAGTAACAGAGAAACCAATTCATACTTCTTAAATGTTTGTGGCACATGCCAGGAAGTTAGGCTAAAACTCTTCTCTCTTTCGCCCAAATCTTAGTAACTTATCAACACAGCTCTGATTTTTGGACTGATTAATTTAGGCTCTACTATCATTTTTAAACTGCAAGAACACTTACTTAGTGTGTAACATGTAGGCTATGTTGAATAAATGAGGTTTTTTAGGGGACAATGATTCGAAATTCGCTTTACACTAACCAATCATCAACAAAGTGCAAAATAACTTATTTTCAGGAATTTTGTAGTTAGTGTAGATTGATTTCTGACTATTTAATTTTAAACATAGCAGGGTATCTGAGTGGGTATAGTGCCTGCTTTATCAAAAAGTTGTCTGTTCGATCCTCAGAAAAGTAACTGCACCAACTGTCCTGCCCAAATAATCCACTTATTTTCAGATTGGGATTTTGCGATCTAGCTACAGAATCAGCTGATTCTAGCTACAGAATCTGCTGATCTTTGAACGTAACAAAGCAAAACATTTCATTTCATCCGTAGCCCTAAAATACACACCCTGGCTTATCAGCGTTGTTTAATCAGTCTTGTGATCCACAAATCTCAGCAGTTAATAGATTAACGACGTCACTATTTTATTATTTAGAGTTCTAATCACATTCCTTGTTCTGTGTGCAGGTGGAGTGATCATGTACGGAGCTCTGTTCCTGTTCAAAGATGAGTTTATACATGTTGTCGCCATCAGCTTCACGGCTCTCATCTTGACAGAACTGATCATGGTGGCACTGACAGTCAGGACGTGGCATTATCTGATACTTCTGGCCGAGGTTCTATCTCTGGGAATCTATGTTTTGTCTCTTGTCATACTTAAGGACACTTTCGGTACGTATTTGTTTACTTTTCAGCCACAAACCGGTTATATTTGACGGAAAATTTATGTGGCTAATTAAGGAGTTCTTTTTGGAAGAGAGCGGATTTAACTAAAATGTTGTTTTGTAAAGAGATGGATTCTAGGGGTTTTTTTTTAATTAAGGTCCAGGGGTTGATAGATGTCCAGGAAATTCACAAAAAAAAACACTGATAGGTAGGCTACTCTGTTTTAGTCTATTACTTGGAAAGTAATTGATGAAAACTCAATCAACTTTGTGTATCTAAAATCTCTTTGACCCTAAATTTCTAATCAAAGTGTTTGCCGACTTAAATAAGTGTTAAGCTAGCTTACCTGAAAATTAAAGTCCATCTCTTATAAATGTACAACAAGTTTATGCTCTATAAATTTACTCTTTTAAGAAACTGTGCGTTAGGGAAATATTAATGATTTGTTTAATGTCTTTCCTTCAGTATCTAATCATCCCTTTAATATTAGTTTTGTTCAAGCAGAGGCTTTAGGCCAGGATTTTGAATTGTAGAAAAGGGAGGATAGCAGCTAGCTTACCTTGAAAGTGTAGATAAGCCATAGAACATCTAGAAGATACACTGTGCACACAATATTTCGTCCCCTGATGGACTTTGGTAAGTGTAGAGAAGGGTTTACAAATTACAAAATCGGTAATTTTCTAATATAGCCTATAATATTGTAATTTTTTAAATTTGTAAACTTTTTCTCTACACTTGACAAAGTCCGTCAGGGGACGAAATATTGTGTGCACAGTGTATTTTCTAGATGTTCTATGACTTACCTACACTTTCAAGGTAAGCAAACTGCTATCCTCCTTTTTCTACAATTCAAATACATTTCAAATATTTAATATAATATTCTTGGGTAAGCTAGCGCTAGCTAGTGCTTTACTCAAAATTGCAATGTTTTACTACGTCTTTATGGACAAATTAATCCTTTCCTTTCGGTATTTGTAAGGAAAGAATGCATTATCCAAATGAATAATTTATCAAGTTGTGACACTTATGGTATGATATTTTGTTGGGAATGTAATTTCATCTTTTAGTTGTGACGTGACTTTAGCTTACAGTTGGTTAATAGAATCGTAGAAAATAGCTGGAACCCCTCAAATTTGTAAGTGTACTACTGCTAGTTTTCTGTGCATTTGTGTACTTAATCAACAACTTGTTATTTCCAGATGAGCAGTTCATCACAACGGGGGATTATCTATGGAAGACGACAGCTATTACGCTAGTCTCCTGTATGCCTTTATACATAATCAAATTCTTGAGGAAGAAGTTCTCTCCTCCTAGCTATTCCAAGTTATCTTAGTTTAGTAAATGTGCTTTTGTTAAGGTAAATATAACATCTATTTCCTGATTAATTTATTTTTTGAGTTCACTAACTCGAGTCATTTATTAGTTGTTAAGTTTGTTGTACGACCATTTTGCACTTATTACTCTATGTAGTATGAAGATGAAGCTGTGATTCTTGTATGAGGTTTATTATTAACGCTATTATTTATTCGTCTACACCTTTTATGCATTATTGTGAATTTAATTTTAGAAAGATAATAAATATTTTTAATTAAGTTTTTGTTACTCTTTGGAGTTACCTGGTTTTTCTGAATCCTTCCTCGTCTCAATAATGTTTAATTTAAGTTGCTTGATTAATTGACGCCTACTGTAATCTATTTGTACATGGAATCACCTACAGTTATCGCTAATAGTTTGAACAAGCGATGAATTACGATTTAATCACTAAGTCTATTGTGTGCTGGTCCAGGCTGTCAGAGATAATGGATTATTAGTTCGTCTACAGCAATTTTCATTTCAACGAGTGTCTGTGATGTACAGTTCAATTGTTTTTGTAGTTTTACAGTGATGTTTCATTAATACTTTAATACTTTAGTTTATGAAAAATATTGCTTTTAAGATGTTATATCAAGTATTTGTTTACACTTATTTTCTCTGAGGAAAAGTTTAGAAAATTTAAAGTAACCTTGTTTTGAAACAAGATGTGTACGGATGCGAGCATGGACGTGCGTAGTATACTTGTTGTGGGCGTACACATTGGTCAGGTTTGTTTCATCCACTGACCTACTGCAGGAGATGGTTGGTGTTGCCGGGTAGAGAACCGGGGTTCTGTTGTGGTGGGGAACTTTACTTTAGCAGTGTTGCCAAATCTGTCTGTAAATAGTGTAAAAAAACATGCCACACTCTGTAACAATATTGGAGATTAGTATAAGAAAATCTGCAAGAACAAAGGTTATATCAATATTAAAGATGAGTGAGTGGCGATGAAGTTGGCAACCCCACCGCCTGGTGCATGTCTCAGTGACATACCATCTGTGTCTCCATGATCTTTGTATGTAGGGACTGTCCTATTAATCCATCTTACTTCAGCTTCCTAACACATGGATTAACTGTATTTTCCTGTCTATCTCCTGTTCTCTTCATCCATCTTTCTGTCCACCTTTTCTTTATTTCTGTTACAGACCAACCCGAGGTGTCATGAGGACTGGCCACAGATGTAGATGTTGATGGCACCAGACGTTTTGATTGGTGTCTCAAACGTTACTTGCAGTAAGCTGCATTGCCTAGGCATACAGGGTTCTGTTAACTTCCAGATCCCTTGCTCATGAGCGGATTACCCCCATCCCTAAGATTTAGAGAAATATTCATTTACCTACTTGTTAAGAAGAATTTTACTTCAAAATTAAAATTCAGCGTTAAAATATAAAGGTTAGTGAAATTGTAAGTAATGTGTACTATATGGTGTTTAAACCTATTTTGTATTCTAGCTAAAAGAGTAGAATGACTGTTCCTTGCATTGCTTATTACTTTGCGAATCCAAGTCTTTGTGGGTTGCGCAGCGCTGTCGATGACACTTTGATGTTTCCCACAGTCAACCGCAAGGGAGCTAAGTATCTGGGGCTGACTAGTAGCGGTTATAAACATTCCCTGTTAGAATCGTTAGATACTGGATTTTGTGAAAAAATTAGGTTGCTCTAGGCAGAACTGGGCCAAAGTTTGGGTTGAACTATGGATCTATTTAAGTGTGTACTTTACCCATTAACATTACTATCAGCGGAAACCACGCTTTTATCCTCCCTATATTATTTGAATTGCCAAAAGTGACTGTGGAAATTGAAAGAAAGGAGAGGTTTACAATTCTGTTATGATAACAGAAGACAATGTCTTTGTGACTGGCTAAGATATTCTTGATTGAGTTCAGATTAGTGAGAATTCAGTGTATAGCATATATTCATGCACCATACAGTACCATCAATGACTCACAAATTATGAGACGAATATTGTCATGTTTTGTTTGGTTATTCTTGATCAAATTCAATGTAAGAGGTAAGTCAAATTTAAAATTTAGCTAGTAAGATGAGGAGTAGCTTTTGAGAGGCAACTTGGTAGTTTTGGAGTTAATTAAGGGGATTACACAACTACAGAGTCAAATTCGAATTGATAACCAAGTGGGTACAGCAAAAAGGAGCTGGCTGCAGCGTTTAGTACAAGAATATTTTTTGTAGTCAAAGTTAAATTTAATTTTCAGCTAAACAGTTGACAGTTGTAAGCCAAATAAAACCCCTAAAAGTTAGATTTTCCTACTACTGTATATTAAAATTGTTTGGTTGGGTTGTTATCAAACCTTTCAAACATATCTTATTATTTCCAAATGAAACCATAATTGCAAGAAACTAGAAGTTTAGTGAAATATTTTACTAGCGCCTTCAAATCCAAGAAACTAGACTCAAAACGTGCCATTGTGGCTGTTGCATTTCCCTACGTGAAGGCGTTCGATTATTGACGGTGGTGCAACATCCAATCATGCAAATTTTGTTTGCCACAATAAAAGTTGAGACAATTTTTTTTATTCCCAATATCATTTGTTTATTGATATCCATTTCGAGTTAGATCATAATAATGCCTCATAAATTCGCTTGTTTTTTTTTTTTTTTTTTTTTTAACTTAAGTTGTCTTCTCGTGGGACAGTTTTTTACATCACACCTACAGTTTTTGGTGGAAATCGATCCATCGGCATTACTGTGCAATTAAATGTCATTAGGGATTGGCAGAATTCAAACCCGACCCTTTAGACAAAAGTCATGTACTCAACATGTAAAAGTGTAATAAATTTCATAGGAAACATTTACGTATTTGGGGGGGTATTTGTTTTTAATGCAAACAACAGAGTTTATTTTTAAATACATGAAGTAATAGGAGGAAAATAAAAATGGAACAACCAAAACTTGGACAAAGAAATCCATCGTCTCGCAGTCGTACAATATTGTATTCATCATTAAAATTTTTATCGAGTAAATTTAAAATCAACAGCTTCAACAATTGGTGTGATCAGTTTTACAATAAATCTCGAACAAATTACGTTCAAATACAATTCTTATGAAAACAGAACAACAATCTGATTGCGTTTTTCCTTAGTTTTGAATCATATTTGTAGTTGTGTTGTTTGAAAAGTATAAACTGATAATTTATATTTTTTAACTTAAAAGAATGATTATTCATAAGTTTGGCCGTGAGTCCACCAGTCTTTTCTTTCCCAATGGAACAAGAAATTAAAACTTGGCAGACACTACTCGGCGTGCCAAAATCGTGGCTAGTTGATGGCTTCGTTGGAAAATCGTGTGAATGTCCGTCAACTTTGAGGAATACGGCCCAATAAAACTCAGGACAAAAGCCTGTTTGAATAAGGAACGTTGATTTTCAAATATCAAAGTAAAGAGATGATAAATTTCAAAATGTTTCTTGTATTTACATAAACCTATAAAACCAACATAATCCGACAGTTGGAGTTGAGGTGCATTTTTAAGTAAGTTCAGTTTACGTCCGAATAAGTAAAATATTTTTCAAAGTATAATAATTGAATTAACCCATAATGCAATGCTGTAGCTAAGCGTATTTTCTGTAGTGTACGTCTACAGTTTAATTGAAACTCCCAATAAAGCGTCAGTTTAGTTTAATGCTATTTTTCATAGTTTTTATCGGTTATCAGAGCAAAGGAGTTTTAAAAATTTTCTCTTACGATCAGCTGATTTTAATGCTAAAGATGTTTTATTCGTTGGGCGTCTCACTATGACCAACCATGACACGGTATAATACAGGTGAGTATGGAAAATAATACTTTATCAAATGGAGGACAATGCTTGACTTTTACTTAAAAGCTTGAAATTATATTTCCGTAATTAGTACACTATATGTTGCTTTTTAAACAGTTTTTATTTCTAATTTTATTCGTTTTGATTACAGAATGCGAATTCACCTTCGAAGACGAAATGCGACACCGTCACATCACAACAGGTGCGTAACTCGAACCGAAGTCTTCAAGGAGGATAAAAAATTATGTTCTTTGTTGTGAAACATATGACAATGGGTAGTTTACTGAATTGCATTACATATCTGCAACTACGACTGGACAAAAATGAAACTACCTGTGTTTATAAAATAAAGTAGGAATTTATAAATGTGGACCTAACCTAAATATGTGTAAAATATTCTACCGCCTCATGAATTGCGTTAAGATCAAGAATAAGATGAAGAGCCAATCACCAAAAAGACTATTTGTATACTGTAATAAAGATCTAATAAAGATCAGAATGATTAAACATTTGTCTTACAAATCAGCTGATTAACGATAATACAAAAACAGCTGATAATAAAAAGAAAATGTCTATTACAGAGCTTGCAACAGTGTGCCGCATTTTAGATTCCATGATTTACTGCCTATCTTTATGGACCAGCTGTAATAATTTATTTTAATACATGTAGAAAACGCAATGACTTTCAATACGGATTGTAACTTTACAGTTATGTTAAGATTAATTAATGTTTTGTGCAAACTATAATCTGCTGTTATTTATACATATTGTCTGTGAAATAAATGAATTTCCATTTTATTTAAGTTTCTCTCTTTGATTTTTTTACCGAGATAACCTAGTTTGTGGGACATAACAAATCTTCTAGTTAACACCTAGTTCAGCGCACTCTGTCGGTGACTCGATTTAAATTAAACTGTGTTCATTTAAAATCTGCAACTTGCCCCAAACTAAAACGTGGAAATGGATCAATGTCTAGTTTTATAAAAGCTACTTGTACGTTTCCAAACTTAAAACAAGTAATTCAATTCAAAACATCTTTATTCATTAGTATATATTGTATATACAAGAATGGTGTCAAATTCATCATTGCATAAAATATAAACACAAATAAAAGACAAATACAATACACAAGAACAAAACAACAAAATAATACAGTCATCTCTCAAAAGTATAAAACAAAAGTATACTTCAGTGAAAACAAAATATAGTTCAGTGAAACAGCAATAGGCCTAAAACATTTTAAGTCAATGCTGTTGTTGCTTCGCCCAGAAACCTTTGAATTTATAGAGAGCATTTTGTGTCAAATGTAGTTTTAGAGCGTTTTTAAATCTGTTGTCATCTGTTTCATTTTGTATTTTTATTGGTAATTGATTAAAAAATTGTATTCCAATGTATGATGGTTTTTGTTTAAATATTTCTTTTTTATGCTTATTAATTTAGAAGTTATATCGGTTTCTTGTGTTGTA